AAAACAGAAAACGGGCCAGTGACCGTTGAGATCAAATAAGCTTCATGTCAAACTGCACTTTAACAGTTAAGTATTAACTCTGGAACCAAATAAGAGCTGTCGGTAGGACATCAACGCTCGACTATTCTTCGTGCTTGATAGTAAAAAAAAATGCCTGATACAGTTACCTCCTCCTGTTTACAGGTTGGGGTCATGATGGTGAACAAGTGTGCAAAGTTTCAAAGCCATATATCAATGGACTTTGAAAATATTTGAACTATTACAAAAACTTTAACGTAAATTCTAAGTCGAAAAAGGGGCATAATTCTGTCAAAATGCTTAATAGAGTTACCTCCTCCTGTCTACAGGTTGGGGTCATGATGGTGAACAAGTGTGCAAAGTTTCAAAGCCATATGTCCATGGACTTTGAAAATATTTGAACTATTACAAAAACTTTAACGTAAATTCTAAGTCGAAAAAGGGGCATAATTCTGTCAAAATGCTTGATAGAGTTACCTCCTCCTGTCTACAGGTTGGGGTCATGATGGTGAACAAGTGTGCAAAGTTTCAAAGCCATTTGTCAATGGACTTTGAAAATATTTGAACTATTACAAAAACTTTAACGTAAATTCTAAGTCGAAAAAGGGGCATAATTCTGTCAAAATGCTTGATATAGTTACCTCCTCCTGTCTACAGGTTGGGGTCATGATGGTGAACAAGTGTGCAAAGTTTCAAAGCCATTTGTCAATGGACTTTGAAAATATTTGAACTATTACAAAAACTTTAACGTAAATTCTAAGTAAAAAAAGGGGCATAATTCTGTCAAAATGCTTGATAGAGTTACCTCCTCCTGTCTACAGGTTGGGGTCATGATGGTGAACAAGTGTGCAAAGTTTCAAAGCCATATGTCAATGGACTTTGAAAATATTTGAACTATTACAAAAACTTTAACATAAGTGGTTACGCCGACGCCGACGCCGACGCTCGGGTGACTGCAATAGCTCTACTTATTCTTATCGAATAGTCGAGCTAAAAATGATAAGTCTTTGCCACCTGTATAGAGCCAGGCCATCATGGTCATCTGTTAGCTGGGTAACTGTAAATATTCAGCTTTATATCACAAAAATTAAAATGGACAGTTCCGCCTTAAGCAATGTCAGAAATTCAGCAGGTTTATAAAAATGCCTTAATCGTCAAAACTAAAATTATATCAAGACCATACTGCTGTTTTGTGTCATAACTGGATGCAGTAACTCAGCAGGTGTGTTCCTAACCGAACTGGTTTATTATACACTTTCCTTTAAGTGTCTGCAAAAAGATAGCTTTGCTACTAGCTTGGCAAATGACCGGGAAAATCAGTTAAGTATTGCATCATGATCCCGAGCATGACGTCTTATCCTTTTTATATACAAGTACATGTATATTATAATTTGTGTGTGCACATTTATTTTAAAAATGTAAAATCTTTAGCATTATCTATACTTAATTAAAAGGTTTTCATTCAGTTCTCTGCCCAAACTGTAATTTTATAAGGATTTTATGTATTTCATTCACATAAAGTTTGAGTTTCTTTCGTAAGTATGGCTATCGCCTCATTATTTCCCTTAACAATTGCCCTGTTGGCGGCAACAGATGCTACCCGTGCGACCACTTCAGATCAAGATCAGCCGGCACATCTATGCCATGTGATCATGGTCTGCACGGGTCGCTGTTCAGTGAGTATGTACTTTGAAATTTTCCTAAAATGACGGACGGTTTTTATCAGGATTTTTGTTGAACAAGTCAATTTAAGATATTTACCGTGGAAATGGATAAAACAGTTACCTTCGACCTATAGACACCGGTATACCAGATTGCACTGGAAGCCAATGTAAGGTCCGACCACATAGACAATTGTCATTTTCATTTCAGTATATTTACGATAGTAGCAAACTAACGCTTGAAAATGTGAAAATTCTTTGAAGTTGATGTTATAATGTAATACAAATGACTACCATTATCATTGGCCACAGGGAAAATAAGCAAGTTATGGTATGCCACACCAGTTTGCCTGTGAAAATATTTAGGTAAGACTGTCATTAATTTCGTGTTTTTATAAAGAAAAGTTAATGTGTATATAAATAGCTGCTGATGTATGGTTAACTTGCTCCAGTATTCAATGTGACATTATAATCTAATTGTTTTATAATTACATTATCTAATATGGCATCTTGTAAAACCAATTACAGTCTGTGACTCTGTAGAATGAACAGCCCCCCCCCAAAAAAAACACACAAAAAAAAACACAAAAAAAACAACAACAAAAAACAAACAAACAAAAAAATAATTAATACAAGCATATGCTTTGAAATATAAGGCGTCGACAATATTCTATTTTAACTTTTTATGGAATTGAAAACTTGAAAATATAGATTTGTTACTGTTATGTGCTGTGCTGTGTGCAGGAATAACTTATGCAGCAATAATAATTGTAATAAAATAATGATAATAATTATAAATTAATTATTATTCAACTTGTATGGTGTCTGTATAATTGTATGTAAAATTTGTAATTTCACAGCCAAATTAATTAGATTTTGTGACTAATGGCGACATATTTAACGTTTAGTTGTTTTTGTTATAATAATTCACATTTTTAAAATGCTATTAACATCAAGTTTTAAACTTTGACACATCAGCGCTCAATCTTTGAATTAAGACATGCGACCGAAAAATACAGGTACATTCAATTTGTGAAGACAAAAAAAAATACTGAAACGAAAGAAACACTTGGTAAATACATCTTTCTGGCTTACTCTATCCAGTTATAAGTGTAACAAAGTAAATGCCCCAGGTATGTGCTTACCTGACTCACAAAGACATATATGTGTCACCATTATGTTACATCTAACGTCTATCGTCTACTTCTCTGACTTAAACAGTTGTTATAATGACACTTTCCTCAAACAAATTTCACAGGAGTGTTGAAAATACCCCCTTCTAAAAACTGACTTTATGATTTACTTTCACTTCGTGAAGATATGTATATATATATATCATCTACATGACATCACGAAATGGGAATTTGAGTGGCAAACATTTAATATTCACGGAAAATTCTACAAGTTACAGAACAATTTGATTTGGAAAGATTAGAGGCACTTCAGAAATAACCACACTAAAACATAACATTTGTTGTAAAACCAAGAAGGAATTTGCCAGCTTGGAAATCTAGCGAGATTTCGTGAATAAGGGCACGATGCAGTGAAACACGTCTTGTATTATGCTGTTATTCACGAAATATCAAAATTATCAACTGGAGTTAACAAGGCGAATATATATTATCAATGAATCCAGTGTAACATACAGGGACAAAGCACAAGGAGAGTATAAATCATCAATATTTCCAGTGAAACATACAGGGACATAGCACAAGGAGAATGAAAATATCCATTGTTTCCAATGTAACATACAGGGACATAACACAAGGAGAGTATAAATCATCAATGTTTCTAGTGTAACATACAGGGTCATAGCACAAGGAGAGTATAAATCATCAATGTTTCCAGTGTAACATACAGGGACATAGCACAAGGATAATGTAAATCATCAATATTTCCAGTGTAACATACAGGGACATAGCACAAGGAGAGTATAAATCATCAATGTTTCCAGTGTAACATACAGGGACATAGCACAAGGATAATATAAATCAGCAATGTTTCCAGTGTAACATACAGGGACATAGCACAAGGAGAATGAAAATCATCCATTGTTTCCAATGTAACATACAGGGACATAACACAAGGAGAATGTAAATCATCAATGTTTCCAGTGTAACATACAGGGACATAGCACAAGGAGAATGTAAATCATCAATGTTTCCAGTGTAACATACAGGAACATAGCACAAGGAGAATGTAAATCATCAATGTTTCCAGTGTAACATACAGGGACATAGCACAAGGAGAATGTAAATCATCAATGTTTCCAGTGTAACATACAGGGACATAGCACGAGGAGAGTATAAATCATCATTGTTTCCAGTTTAACATACAGGATATAGCACAAGGAGAATGTAAATCATCAATGTTTCCAGTGTAACATACAGGGACATAGCACGAGGAGAAAAATAAATCATCAATGTTTCCAGTGTAACATACAGGGACATAGCACAAGTATAATATAAATCATCAATGTTTCCAGTGTAACATACAGGGACATAGCACAAGGACAATGTAAATCATCAATGTTTCCAGTGTAACATACGGGGACATAACACAAGGAGAATGTAAATCATCAATGTTTCCAGTGTAACATACAGGGACATAGCACAAGGAGAATGTAAATCATCAATATTTCCAGTGTAACATACAGGGACATAACACAAGGAGAATGTAAATCATCAATATTTCCAGTGTAACATACAGGGACATAGCACAAGGAGAATGTAAATCATCAATGTTTCCAGTGTAACATACAGGGACATAGCACAAGGAGAATATAAATCATCAATGTTTCCAGTGTAACATACAGGGACATAACACAAGGAGAATGTAAATCATCAATGTTTCCAGTGTAACATACAGGGACATAGCACAAGGAGAATGTAAATCATCAATGTTTCCAATGTAACATACAGGGACATAGCACGAGGAGAATGTAAATCATCAATATTTCCAGTGTAACATACAGGGACATAACACAAGGAGAATGTAAATCATCAATGTTTCCAGTGTAACATACAGGGACATAACACAGGGAGAATGTAAATCATCAATGTTTCCAATGTAACATACAGGGACATAGCACGAGGAGAATGTAAATCATCAATATTTCCAGTGTAACATACAGGGACATCGCACAAGGAGAGTATAAGTCATCAATGTTTCCAGTGTAACATACAGGGACATAGCACAGGGAGAATGTAAATCATCACTGTTTCTAATATAACAGAGAGGGACATTGCAACTTGTTGAATGTATTAGTATAATATCATATCATTCACCTAGAAGGTCTATGGATAATGCTAGGAAAAGTCATTGTAAATGTTCAGATATATTTATTCCTGTAGATTGATACAAAAAAACCAATTAATTGGTTTCAATGGGTCTTCACTAGATATAAATGCACGTTATTAAATGTTTAACACATGGTAAACAAATATATACCTAGTATAAAATATCAATTAACATAAAGTTTTATTTCAAGGTCATTTTATACCAACGAAAGAGTAAATATGAAGATGCTTGAAATGCTGATTGTATAGTGTCATATTCATGTTTCTGTACAGGAGTTTCCTCCCTTGTTTCTGGCTTCTGTTTCATTACTTCGTCAGCATCCTTTAATATTTCAATATTGAATCGACCACCTAGTTTGAAAGAATTAAAAAAAAAGTTACATTTTTTCTATGAACTTATTAATATTAACTTATTCAAAATGACTACTAACTTTGCTTATAACTTCATACCACTAATTTATACTTTCATTCAATATTAATTAAAAACATATTTAATTAATTAATTTGTAAGTTTTGCATTGAATTACTACTACCATTATTTTAGCATGAGAATACAAAACAAAAATATATCAAACTAAAAATTCAAATTTTAAAGGTTATTCTTAATGTAACTAATTGCGAAATAGTGTATTTTGAATTAAATGAAGTTAATAATACGGACATTTTCAAGTGTAACTTCAAAGACGTAGCCATGTATGAAATCAGAAAAGACAAATCATGACAACATAATTTCTGATTAACAATTAGCTGATTTTTGACAGTGCATTTTTATGTAATGATGTGAATATAACTGAGACGCGTCACGACAAAACCAACGTTATGCGTTTGCGACCAGCATGGATCCAGACCAGCCTGCGCATCTGTGCAGTCTGATCAGTTTCTGTACTTGTAATAGAGTTGGTAAGCGAACAGCATGGATCCTGATCAGACTGCGCGGATGCGCAGGCTGGTCTGGATCCATGCTGGTCGCAAACCCACTATGTTGGTTTTGTCGTGACGCGTCTCAACTTACTGTAATTAGATACTATAACTTTATCTGGACACGAATGAGGAGGACCTGAAACAAACAAAATAATTTAATGCTCGAAAAAGTTTGTTTTCCAGATATACCATTTAACTGTTCAAAGTCTATTTATTTAATATATACAAGGATATATCAATAACTCTGGAGTGGTCCAAAAATGTTTTTTGGTACAACAATCATAATAATGAACACTGCATCATTTTTCTTTATAGACAGAAGCATCACCTTAAAAAGAGGGCATAAAACAAATGTTATACTCATTCAAGAACGATATTTAACCAATGCAATTACTTTTTTGGGGGGATTTAATTTCTGATATTGTGCTTTTGTTTTTCATTATACTATAACTAGCAAACCTCTGATTTGATAACCATAGTTTTAACTTTTAATGCTGACAATGGCATTTTGATGTATAAAGTACTCTAAATGTTGTTTTTTTAAATACAAAGTAGGAGTTAAGCGAATAAAACGGCAATTCATCAATCAAACTGTAAACATATGTAATAGTGGAAGAAAATGGACTTAACCCATAGAGACATATCTATGTTTCGTTATGAGATACTTTACTGATTTGGCTAGACCAGGGAGCAGTTCTTGAATTTATTAAAAACAATTATCATAGTTTTCATCATCACAATTGCAATATGCAAATTTATCTATATGGACGCTAGTCGGACACATATGTCATTAGTTCGATTGTCGCGTGCATTCTGACATGTGTCTATAATGTTGGCTGTCTGCTGTCAATATTTTGATGTGGAAATCTCCTAACCCTCACTACTCTAAATATCGCTAATGAACTTGTCCATCTTTCAATCTGGACAAAACCATTCATTATTTTCAGGGAAAATTTTTCAACTTATGTAATGACTAAATCGAACAGAGTTGACCATGATCAGGGTTTACCGGATTTTCTTAGACTCCACTAGTCGGAGGTATTTTAGTTGCCGCCGACGGAGTCGGCGAAGTCATTACTGCGAAATCAATAATATCACCTGAGTAGATTGAAGGTGAAAGGCTACTCGGTTTTATTTGATAGATTAGAGTCATTAAAACATTTGAATAAAAATAATTGTAAAAATTTACTATAAAGTGATAAACTTACATGAAGTTAATTAAAAGTTTCAACTAAATTTGCGTATAAATTAATAAAGCGTAAATGAATAACTACGAAAGCTAATTAATTTCCACTCATAAAAACGTCTAGTTATACAAAGCCCGTTTGTCATATATAGAAATGATACAGGTGTATAGCGCTGAATGAACTTGTTTTATACAGGTATAAAATGACATACTTCTTACATATTGTATCAACAGTTAAGATATATTTATTATGTTTAACAAATTTCTTGATCTAGAATGTATCACAGGTGGGGAGGGGAGGGGATGGAGGTGTTAGGTCCAATTTTTCCGGAAAAAGGAGAACCCTCGGAAGAAATGAACACATACATAACTGAAGATTTACATCCATTGAGGCTGTCCATTTTTATTTCTCGATCAAACCACGGACTTTGTGTGTGATAAAACGATACAAAAACGCTGTCGTTATAAATAAGTGTCATATGTTTTTAAAACATATAAATATACATATGTCGTATGTGAATTGAGCTGATCCAAGTTTCTGGTAATGCAGCTTTTTGTCAGATATATTGGTGTATGTAACAAAACATGCTACAAACGTAATTAGTGAAACACATACATCAAATAAGGTGTATTTTACAATCCTAGTATTTGGTATTCTATATAATTGTAGTGCATTTTGTGATGTTATTGCCAACCAATGTCAATCTTATTAAAATCAGATTCTAATTAACGCTACATGCAACAATTAACTTAAGTAGATCTGATCTTAGATTGTAACCGATGTATATCATGTGATGTCCGGTGGTATGAAAATATGATGTTGTTTAAATATATATTGCAACCACTATAAATGAGAACGACACATCTATCAAACCTGCCAAGAAGATTGTATATTTATATGCTTTATAAACATATGACATACTGTTTTTTTAAAATTCAGTGGTTTATACTGAAACAAAACAACAAATAAAGTAACAGTTATCGTAAATTGATAATATCAGTAAAATAATAGCTGTATACGAGTACATGCCTTGCCAAACTTCTCCATCTTGGTTGTGTTTTTTAACAACGTTAGCATATTGGCTGTACCAGAAGTGTCCGGCCATAGACGTATTTGGTAAAGTTGGTGAAATTACCAACCAAAGCCGTAAATCAATGGCTGTATAATTACAAATCTTGTCAACCAGCTGCGTCGAAGTCGTATTTGTCAACAATGAAACAATGACTGTACGTGTACATACCTGGCTAAACTCCTGGATCATACTCGTATTTTGTTTAAACCATGAAAAAATGGTTGTACGTGCACATACCTGGCCAAACTCCTGGATTATAGGCGTATTTTGTTAAAAACCGCGAGACAATGGTTGTACGTGTACATACCTGGCCAAACCCCTGGATCATAGGCGTATTTTGTTAAAAACCGCGAGACAATGGTTGTACGTGTAAATACCTGGCCAAACCCCTGGATCATAGGCGTATTTTGTTAAAAACCACGAGACAATGGTTGTACGTGTACATACCTGGCCAAACTCCTGGATCATAGCCGTATTTTGTTAAAAACTGGCAAACAATGGCTGTACGTGTACATACCTGGCCAAACCTCTGGATCATAGCCGTATTTTGTTAAAAACTGGGAAACAATGGCTGTACGTGTATATATACCTGGCCAAACACCTGGATCAAAGCCACATTTTGTTAAAAAACAGTGAAACAATAGCTGTACGTGCACATACCTGGCCAAACTGCCGGATCATAATCTATTGATGCCAGGTAATATCTCCCTTCCTTCTTCATCAGAGACACAAGAGTGTTGATATATCTTTAGTAAAATAAAAAAAATCCATCATCACCAACTGACACAAAAATATTAATCAAGTATTTTCACAATGAATTTAATTGGGTCTTACATACATTCTAAAATCCCCCCCCCCCCATACAATATAAAAAGGCTAAGGTTTTAATTCACCAAGATACGAAAAATAGTGTATATATTGTAACACAAGCACTACTGAAGATGAATTCCATTGTATTTGTAAATGTCATTGCTTTACTTCTTCAAATAAAAACGATATTGTTAAATTGTGCATATATGAAAAAGGCATTTTTTATTCTAAATTCATTTATAAATAATATGACCTGATGCGATAGTACTTATTACCTTACTGTCTTTGTTATACATGTATTTATTATATGTAAATATATGTTAAAGTGCATATGATTAAACTTTTGTAATATGTTCTAGATATGTGACATGTTTATCATAGATGTCTATGTATTTAAATGATATACTTTTAGAGAGGTCTAATAAAATGTCTGTCCTGGTCTGTTAAAAAGGTTACATTAATTATTACTGATATTTTTTCAATTTACTGAAGAAAATATCATAAAGATGTATGCAATTTTACCTACTGTTTGAAGTGCTGTGCTATTAAGAAAGTTATTTCAGATATGAAATGAAGTTACAACATAACAACTGATCATGATGGTATGTGTAAATGTATGTCTTACTTTTGACGATCAGATCTCTGTTAATGTAAATGTATGTCTTACTTTTGACGATCAGATCTGTTAATGTAAATGTATGTCTTACTTTTGACGATCAGATCTGTTAATCGCTACAAACGCCTTAGAATCCCATATTATGTCAAACTGTCCACAAAGTTCTCTGAAATACCAGTTTTAAAACGCTAGCACTTTATGTATTCATATGAAGATATGTATTACAAAAATTAATAAACATGCCAATATTTCAAATGTTCCGAAAGAATATTCTTAGTTCACCAATGCATTTATGTACATTGTATATCATTATATGTTTAACTTGTTACAAAATACATTAGTAATGAGGCTATCATCATAATGTGATAATCATAACGGAAATTATAGAAGATCGTAAAACATAAATGAGCCGCGTCATGACAAAACAAACATAATGGGTTTGTGACCAGCATGGATCCAGACCAGCCTGCGCAGCAGTAATACTCTACTTGTTATATAATTTGTAAGCCAGCCAGCAGTAATACTCTACTTGTCATAGAATTTGTAAGCGAATAGAATGGATCCTGATCAGACTGCGCGGATGCGCAGGCTGATCTGGATCCATGTTGGTCGCAAACCCATTATGTTGGTTTTGTCATGACGCGGCTCAAATCAAATAATTAATTGAATACACATGGTTTTAAGTTAAAGGTCCATTATACCTCAGAAATACTATCATTTTTTAAAAACTTTCTATTTTGGTATCTTGTTATAGTTTCCAAAAATTCTCATTTGCAACAGAGATGAACTATCTTTTACTTCTTCTGCCATGTTGGCAATGGACTCAACCAGAGTGAATGAGTATTTTGTATGGAAGTCAAAATACTACTTTGTTTACATTTTGCTACCTTTACGACACGTTACTTAACATTCCACACAACTGTATTCCGCTATTAAATATTTATTTCATTATTAAAGCAACATGCCTCCAGATTCATGCTATTTTTTTCACCAAAAAGAGGTCAAAATATACATAAATACCTCTTACTGCATTAGTAACGCAACTTAGCATTATAGTGATTGATGCTGCAAAATCAGTCTATAATCGCACAAAACATGTTAATAATTAATTGAATATTGAATCTGCTTACTTTTCTTAAAATCTTAATACTTTTTTTCTAAAGAATTTCTTAAAATATTTTGACTCATCTGGAGGCTTGCAGCTTTAAACACAATTTTGATATTTTTAGAGAATTAGAAGAATATGTATTTCTGAGGCATAATGTGCCTTTAATGACATAAATTTTAAATAGATGAATAGATTTAGAACGCGGTTGATTTCATTAAAACTACATTATAATAGTAATGTATGCTTATCATGATAGGAGCCGCGCCATGACAAAACCAACATAATGGGTTTGCGACGAACATGGATCCAGACCAGCCTGCGCATCCGCGCAGTCTGATCAGGATCCATGCTGTTCGCTATCAGTTTCCTTACTTGTATAGGGGTTTGTAAGCGAACAGCATGGATCCTGATCAGACTGCGCGGATGCGCAGGCTGGTCTGGATCCATGCTGGTCGCAAACGCACTATATGTTGGTTTTTTCGTGGCGCGGCTCATATTTTCTTGTCAACATGTAATCGAATTATGAAATTTTGTCAATGAAAAATACATACGGGGTCATCTCAAACATGTCTGCCACATATAGTTGTATTTTGTTATCTATACTCTGCAAAAATGGATGTAATTTTATTACAAAATCATGTGTTATATAACTAAATGTAGTAAACGAAAATCCTGCATATATGACTATCGTACTGATTCTATGAAAAAAGAAACGCGGTACACGTCAACATTATTTAGTCCGTGTAAAAGTGTGTACGTCCGTGCAATCTGGTAAGGCATTTTATGGCGAGTATATTTTTGCAATAACAAATATGTTTATCATGACATGTATTTGATATATTATACTAATGTATGAATACAAACAAAGTTGCTGTACCTTATAAAGCTTTCCCGGCACCGTTTGAAGAGATTCTACTTTACATTCAATGTTGTTTTCGGAGAAGAATTGTTGGACAGCAAGTTCGGCAATCTCAACTCCACTGACTTTAAAACCATGATTATAAAACCTAGAAGTAATTTAATTTTTTACTCGGTTGATTATTAAATATAACCTGCAAAGTTTGATACCTTTAAGGAATACTGGTGATGAAATACAAGCAGAATTTGATAACTTAAAAACTAAAAAAATGTTAAGTGTAAAGACACTTTATTACCATATAATATCCAATGTTTTCCCACACAGCGGCAAAAATACAGAACGATTTTCTCCTAGTAATTCGGCTTTCCTCAAGTCAAGAAATCTACAATAGTACAAAACAGACAAAAACTAAAATCCGAGATAATTTGGCATACCCTGTATAACTACGTGCGAGGACCTGGAGCGGCCGCAAAGGAATTATTGTGGTTGACATGCACAAGCAGTATAGCTAAGGGGAGGGAGGTCTCTTAAATTCTATTGGTGTGGGTACGAGCACCCCCCTCCCCCCGGGCAACTAGGAGATTAATGTTTAACATTGTGTATTCTGGTACATTTTGTTACATTTTCTTGCATTCAATTCATTCAATAACTAAAATAGTTTTCATAATAAACTAACAATATCTGCCATTTAACGTGAGATTTTTAAAAAAGACAGCTAGTGTTGTTATTTCTGCGAGCATGGCAAGACAAGAAACTTGATTTACAAAAATTCAATTTTATTAAAATAACAGTTAAATTTACATTATTGAAGCTTTGCATATAAATTATAATGGAGGAATGTCCTCCTCCTTTCTGTAAAGATGTGCTTTGTAACAATTTACACAATCAATGGGAGTGGCAGTTTCAAAGACATACATGTAGATACATATATTATTCATTGGCCGCAAAGTGTATGTTTACTTATGGTGATGATGGCGATAGTGAACTAAAGTGATGATGTTGCTGTTGCTATTGCTGATAATGATATTGATGATGACAATGAATATGATTGTAATGATATTCAACCTGAAAAGGGTCATGTTGATGAACTGTTGGCCAAGTTTACGATTCACTGCAAAAGATTTGGATTAAACACTACCAACATTTCAAGGGAATAAGCTTTTTATTCAACCAGTCGCAAAAGCTTTTCAAAACCAATAAAAAATCGTTTAATCTGTTTCACCATGTATCATCCGTAACGCATGAATGTAAAAATTAGACTGGAATTGTGCGGTAGTAACGTACGAAAGGCCGGTGGTAACATTTCAACTTCTTGAATTCATAGGTTCATTTTCACGAATTCACAATTTCAACTGAATGAATTCACGATTTTGACATACAGAATTCATGAATTCAAATTTTCAACTTCAAGTATTCACGATTTCAACTTCAAGAATTCACGATCTTCAACTTCACGAATTCAACTTCATAAATTCACGTCTTGAACTTCACTATTTCAACTTCGTGAAGATGAAATCTTGAATCCGTGAAGCTGAAATCCTTTCGATCAAAACAAATTCATGAAGTTTAAATCGTAAAATCGTGAAAGTGAAATCGTGAATTCATGAAGCTGAAATCATGATTGCGTGGATGAAATCGTGAATTCGTGAAATTGAAATAGTGAATTCATAAAGCTGAAATGGTGAAGTTGAAATCGTGAATTAATGAAGTTGAAATTTTGTTGAGTTCATGAAGTTGAAATCTTGAATTTGTGAATTACATTAACATGAATCAAAATATTAAAGTTGGCGACATATCTTGTTTTAGGTAGGCTTTGAAAGCATCACTAAATTCTATATATTATATATATATATATATATATATATATATATATATATATATATATATATATATATATATATATATATATAGGAGAGGTGGCCTACTGCTTTAGTGTCGGCTGTCTACGAACCAAGGGATCGCAAGTTCGAGCATTACTCGTTATTATGAAAGTGACCAATAAAAGCAATTTCTAAATCTAGTTGAAATAAATATATGTGTTTTTAAAGTTATTTAGTTACCGATCAAATGTACTTTGATGGAAGTCCGTTTCACCTTTATCCCACATATTTTTCCACCCATCGTTGTCTAAAGTACCACCAACTGCATCCGTTGACATATTAACTATCTTATATAAAAGCTAGAACTGAAATGTATAAAAGGATACTTCAAATAATTGAATTACGGTCTTTATTTATCATATTTTATACCACAAAGAGTCGAGACACGTTCACTACGTCAACAAATAAAAACCACTGATTCTCGACACCATCATATAATCAGCAAGAGATGCTGCACTTATACAGACTCAATGGAAGTAAAAAATATTCGCACATTCGAAGCTATATTCTGTGATACTAGATATTTTCAATTCCTAAAACACGGGCCTACCTATCCTACTGTATTAAAAACAAGTAATTTTCCCTTTATACATTTATAAACGGTGTACAATAAAGTATCACACTATTAATTTAAAAATTGTACATGTATTGTACCAAAATTTAACGGACCCAGAACTCTTGGGTTGATTGACAGAAACTTTAACCAATAAGTTACCAATCTCGTACTATTATAAAACTAAATTAATATATAAGCGTTTTAAACCATCAAGAGTAATCTTTCTTTGGCAAATATATAGGCAGTAAAGTTGAAACGTCGAAAATTGTTTGAAACTTATATGGAATGCCAAAATTGACGTTCGAAAGTTAGACTATTCTTTACCTGTATAAGTCAAATAATTTTCATTCATGCTGATTAAAACCTTTTAAATAATAATGATGTCTTAATAAGGTAATAAAATAGAACTTACGGTTTGTATACATTCAGTTCCTCTCCGTGACTATATCCGATACGGTACGTTACGGTTATTAGCAAGTATTAAATGGAGTAAAACCTCCTTGTTATATTGAAACGCGGAACGACTAGTCAGATAATCAAATTAGGTGTACAGCTTGGACTATGAGAATATTAAATTGTTTAATTACAAACGTAAGAAACTGTATATGATAGTGACCTATTTGTCTGCACGGGTAAAGTTCTGCATAATATAACTATCGTTACGTTACGTAACGTAACGTAACGTGATGCGACTTAACGTACCGTACCATTATAAGTTATAAAGATTTTGACAGATTATATGGCGCGATATAAACGATTATTTACACATAGCATCACATAATATAACAGGACAGCGCATCACAACGCTACACTACACTTCTATTTAAAAACCCCAATTATTTCAGTAAAAGTAAAATAAGAAACATTAGTTGAGGAAGAATGAAACGTTTTCTAACATTTATTCCCTGGGTTTAATAACATGTTCATGTCTTACATTACCAACGCCATCAATAAATCGTATTTTCATTTCAGTGTCGGTAACTTCAAAGAAGGAAAATCCTCCAAAATACATAAGGTCTGCGAAAAAGAACTTCAAGTTCTCTGGTGGTATAGAAGATATGTGAGCCTGAGACTTGTCTACAAAGTTACCTGCCCCTACATTGAAATAATCCATTGTTTGTCCTTCTTTATTCATCTGAATGTGCTGTAAAAGAAACAAATTTCATGTAACTGTATAGTTCATGTAACTATATATAGTATCAAGCTAATACTGTAGTTATAGAAATACTAAACTTATGTACGTCAATTAGGCTGAAACTTTAAACACAATTGTCTTGTATATGAAACATATTCCTATATCTCAGCTGCTAAATAAATATTTCAAGAAAATTAATGTCTTTATAGGAACAACTTGGACTTTCAAATGCAATACCCCCTCTTTGTCGCTGCACGATTATAAAAAAAACATCGCCTAAAAAAATGATCCCTTGGAAGCATTATACACAACAAAATTACATGAAAACTTAAATTTCAGATTCGGTTTAATTGAGTCGATACATGAGAGACAATGAAAAATTCCAACATCCCTCGGATCCCCTAGCACAGGCTTGGGAGGTACTCAGTTTTCAACACTTAAAAGTGCTGGAAACAATAATCCCGACTGACCAGAATAAAAAACACGCTAATAAAGGTATAATGCCATTTTATCTGTTCAATCTTGAAATACAAAACACGAGGGTTCAAAGGTAAAAGGTAATAACTGCCATTTTCAAGATTTCGAGAAAAACGCAAAAAACATATTTTTTTTAATACAACTTTATTTTCCGTAATATTGCTATAACAATTTTGATTCTCCCATATTTGTTGACTACATTGGATCATATTTTGTTTAGTATACATTGCTTGGTGCTGATAAAACACTGTAATTATGTTTTGTTTTAAAGTTCTAAGATCAAAATAATATCATTTTACAGAAGTAAAATGTAATAAATGTACTTAGATCCTGTCTAGACTACAAGTTTGAGCCGTAAAAGGTAATAATTGCACTTACGACCTTTTACTTCTGAAGGTTTAGCAATAAAAGTTCGAGATAAATTGTGGTAAAAGGTCATAAGTGCAGTTAAAGCCTTGTTCCTCTGAAAATTTTTAGATGTTGCAGTAATTGTTACTGTTGCAAATTTATTAATTTTTTTCTTACTTTGAAGAACCTTACGTAATGTAATTAACACACATGCACAATAATACTCGTACACAAAATTGACAATTTTCATTCATAGAAATATGAAATGTGTACCTGCTCAATATTTAGATTCTACAGAAATAAATTGATAACTAAAAAGTTTACGAAAATACGCACTAAAATCTAAGTCTACAAATTTTCATTTATTTTGAATGTTCTCTGGTATATAATCGAACTGAAGTCAAACAGACCTCAGACATCAGCAATTACGGATATTAGTGACCCATATCATAGTGAAGTAAATAAAGACTTATGTTTCATGTCACAAAATGTGAATGTTTGTCATTAATTATTCCATGAAGTTCACTCATCTTCTTCACTCTCACTGACAGTTTGTCTTTTATAGATTTGATGCTAACAATGACTCGTAATATGATTCGTATGTCTTCGGAATCGTCCCAGAGGCAACAAGTGACATCAAATCAATTTTTTTTGCAGCATACATTGAAAGTTTCTCTGTATAAGCCTTTCGTGGAGCCTTAAGAGATTTTTCTTTGCTTCTGCTCTTCTTCTGCATTAACCTAACTTCCTTGAACTCACTAACATTAAAAACCATAGTTCACAAAAATACTGTATTCTTTCATTTCTTTGTCTTTACGACCTTGAATCTATTTTATATTCAGCCAATTAACACGTTCTCCATCAACGAGCCAACATTTTGTTCTTTGTACAATTTGTAATCTAGTATGTCAGTGTATTTAATTAGAACGACAATATACGGTTGCTTCCGGCGTGCTAATGATAAATTAAATGATAAAACTGTTTCCCACTGAGATGGAACATGTACTTTTGTGAGGCTTTTTGCATGCTCGAAAGATGCATGTATGGAATCACATTCCATTTCTATGGAATCACATTCCATTTCTGAATGAGTAAAATTGTGGTTTATACACTTGTTGTGAGGAATATACTGGACACAGTGAACAACAAACTGATTGCGATTCTGTCCCTATATAATGTCACTTCTTCAATAATAGATGTCTTACTTGCATCAGAAGTAACATACAAGTACACACAAGGTCCTACTTCGCACGAGCCTCGTTTCCCCCGTGTCTCATCCCAAAGATAACAAGTCCCGTTACCATTTTTCAGTCCATAGAATGACAAATTGTAACAACACAGTTTTCTTTTGTAATAAAGTTCACCAATTAAAGGGATATTCAGGCAAAATAATGACAAAACTATTAAAAGATATTTTGGATATTGTATGATTGAAACAAGTCAATAAAGATCAACAAGGCAAAGGCAACGTTCACAGGACGCTGCCCCCGAACACACCATGCAGGACACCTAGAAGGCACCAAACAAAAACCTGGAGTGGATTTTCATTTGACATGTTCTTTTACGTTTCCAGGGTTCACTTTGACAAATATTGCGAACTCATAGCACTCTAACTTGACCCACGCGGGTCAAGTTAGGAAACCACCATTTTATTCTTTATATGGAGAAAAGTTTTGTTCCATTGATTGTCTAATATATTCATTTCAAGGGCATTTTCAGAATAATGAATGAAAAATTCAAAACCAAGAAATAAAAAATTTGCCTGTGTCTCCCTTTAAACTGCATGGTGTTTGGCGATATAGCCTGGATATCAAATGCCGACTTTGGATCGTTCTTTGCCCGTTCTTTGTCGGCTGATTTTTCCATTCTAGCATTGTTTTTTCTTTCTCGGTGTACCTGATATTTTGCTTTGTTGCCTCATCTAGTCTATCTTCTATTTTCAAAGTGTCAAACAGATTGCAGAGTTTACATTAATCTTTCTTAGGATGGAAGAAAGACAAGTCATATTCTGTACAGAAAATGTTTCTGTACACAGCCTCTGAAACATACCTTCTAGTTTGTCCTTTGCATTTTTCTACATACAGTGTGAACATTCGTCTTATACTTAAATCTTGCGTTAGATACTTCCTGTTGAAGTCTTTCCGTGTGTAGTGTGATTCAAAACTCGGAAAGCTTTCGATGTGTTTCTTTACAAATGATCTGTGATATTTCTTTTTTTTTTTATTTCCAGGCACAGCTTTCCCTTTCTTGTTATTTCCAACATATAACTCTGCCACTTTGTGCTTAACTGCGTTTGCAACTGTTTTTGGAACTGACATCGAAAGTTTTTAGAAAATAGTTCTTTGTTTTCTTCTCTGTTTAGAACCTTCTGTGGTTCTTTATTGGCAACATGGAAACAAATGAATTGCCTCTGACGTTTGTAATCACCCATTGACCAGTGTGCACTGAATATTTTCTGTCTTTCATCTTCGGTTATATTCTCGCTGCATGTAAATCTACACGATAAATTTCTTGGGAAAAGAGATAACTATGGAAGCATAAACCTGCCCTTTTTACTTGTGTCTTATGGCTTTTGACTTGTGACTTGTGACTTAGACTTTTTACTGTGATTTTGACTTTTTGTTTAACATATAATTCGGGGCGTTTTGAAGAAAATACGGGAGACAACAATTTTTACCTAGTTATTTTTTTTTCATTGAATTTTTCATTTAATTTTAAAAATAGTCTACGTTTTAAGTCTTTTTCGATTTTTAAGATTTTCTTTTTTAAAAATTTTTTTGGAAAATTCGACATTTCCCAAAAATATGAGAGTGTAACCTTTTGTTAACTATTCTAAACGATTCAGATTATGTAAACACTAAATTTTTTTCCGTGCATTCAAGTTTTAGATATTCATGAATTAAGCTTTGGGGGTTTTAGTTTTTTTTTCAAACGTACACACGCATAAACTATTTAAAAAAACAAATTTTCATTGTAACATAACTTACAACCCGGAATTCAATTTTTTTGTTTTGTTTTTCATTGTTTGATCATCGTATGTAGTTTAATAATAATTGAACAACTTTTTGGATTTTATGTTGATAGTGAAATAAAGTAAATATCAGCAAAAATCTTAGTAAAGAGGAGAGACAATGGTATAGGTCCTTATTTTGGAAAGAATGGAGGTTACATGTAGTTTTGTATGGGTCGTTGTAAGGTCCAATAAAACGAGAGGGTAGTTCGAAAAGTGTTTGTAACATTCGACTTTTTAAATGAAACTGTTAGAGAATGAGATGTTATAAAAAGTTTTATTGCATTTGCTAGTCATTTATTCTTCGTGCTTTACAACCATATAATGTTGCGAAAAATCAATGCACGATGCATATCAGCAATTCAGAAAATGGTCCATGTGGCAATACTTTTCGAACATCATCTCTTGCTTTGTTTATGTGTTTCTTCTATAGTTTAAAAAAATGAAACAATTAGTTTCAGAAATAAAAGTGAAATCTTTGAGGTCTTTTTCTTTGCAACCAAAAAACACCTTTGCATGTACCTCAGTTGAGGAAGTTGCATGCCAATGTGAGACATACTACTGCCAATGATGCCGTGCCAACGTGCCAACATGACACAAAAATGCACCATAATTTGACAATTCATGATATTGGCGCTCTGAGACCTTTTGCCATAGAAAGAGGGACCTGGGCGTGCAGCACAATTCTATTTATATTGGAAATTTGGCTTGGCTATTTGAACATCCCATCAATCATTTACTCCTTAAACAAAATGTTTTACAAAAATGTGACCTTTGACCTCTAAGTGTGACATTGACTTTGAAGCGAGGGAATCTGTGTGATGTCAAAATCTGGTAGAAGTGAACATTTTTGCCAGGTTATATGAAAAATCCAATCAAAATCATCAGTGAAATAAATTATATTCGAGACACGAAACATTACACCACAATGTGACCTTTGACCTCTAAGTGTGACATTGACCCATTGACCTTAGACCCTTCAAACTTTATATGTAAATGCACCTTCATGATTTCTACATACCACATCCATTTTTTTGTTAATGGTCAAAAGGTCACATTGTGGTAACGATGACCAACAAGTGGAAAGACTTTAAATGGTCATATAATCTAAGTGGCTTTGAAATCTAAGCATTCAAACATTTTCTAATATATATACACACTTTGGTTCGGTTCTGTGACACTCACCATTGACTTTGTTACTTTAAAATATGTGTGGCAGGCATTACTTACCATGTCGCATCATCATCTGCTGTTTGAATATTGTTGATTGTTATCTGTTTTGAAAACAATTTAAGAGACTCGATACTTTGTACTTTTGTTAATGAAACAGGAGCAGGCACGGGCGAACTTTGTTCAAGACATACATTTATAATTAAACTGTCATTGACCCAAATTCGTCATGTTTTAAGATAAACTAAAAAAAATATTTTTTGGGTTTGGGGTTTTTTTGTCAAAATTTGGGGGACAATTTATTGATGAAATTTCCAAATTAAATTTTATATATTTTTTTAAATAGATTTCTAACAATTTTTAAAAACAGATACGTGGGCGCGCCATGAAATAAAATTTGAAACAAAGGGGGTCCCCCGGAAAAGCCCATACTCAATTTTCCCCTATTTTAACAAAACAAAGTCATTTACGTTCCATTTTTTAGTTTTTTGATTTAATCCAAAACCAAGCCTTATTTTTCATGATTTAAAAATTTTTTTTGCGAAAATGACAAATGTTTTAAAAGTCGGCCTAAACGTTTTTGCCATTTTTTTTGAATTTTTAGGGGGGACTAACAAAAAGGATAACAACATAAAAATATTAAGATCAAAAAAAAAAAAAAATCATGTCGAAAAAATAGATAGTTATTAAGTTCCACAGAAAAAAACTGTTCTTTTATCTTTCCTACCTGTGGTACCCGGTTTTCCACTGGGTCAGAACGCTGTGCAGTATCTGGGGGACATGAGTGCGATATAGCGGAGTTCCCCGGGAAAAGGTTTTGTAGTTAACTTTTTTAAAATGGGGGGATTTTTAAAAAAATTGGGCCCAAAGCACCAAGGGAGAAAATTAACCGGACAGACACATCCTAACTTAATATAAAGGTAATGTCAAATAGGTCAACACCAAAATTTAATGTTGACATTTCAACGAAGGTGCTTTTGTCCAAATGAAATTTTTTAAAAAAATCAGGCTTTTCTTAAATAATAAAAAAGTAAACAGATTATTATACTTCCCAAGTGACATTGACCTTCAACTCAGGGTTTTGCGGCTGGTATATAGCGACAGCCTGGTCTCGTGGATGGGGACATTTGTGCCAATTTAATTCAAAAAAACCCACTCATTCATATAGAAGTGGACGTTTTAACCTCTAAAGTGTGACTTTGACCTTCAGTGCGGAAATGTGTCTTATTCTGGGACACATCTTATGATGGTGAACATTTGTGCTAAATTATTTCAAAATCGCCCTCCATCCATGTAGAAAGAACAAAAGCGGTGACGACTATTTCAACCCAGTTTTTGTTAGTGCTGTGGAGACCTAATAACATACATTTGTAGTAGCTATTTATATATTTACAGCTGTGTAGTCGTGTTGCATTGTCGTTTAGTCGCAGGTTGTCTGCTAAACCATACAGATTTTTTTGAGCACGAAAAACAATTGCAATGCCGTTTTCAGCGTCATGTGCAAATTTGATAAATCCGGTTTCAAAGAGTTTAGCCAATTCTTTTAAAGTCTTTATTTCTGTTCTTCGGGGAATTGAAATACATCCGTTGAACAATAATTACGTCTTGTATATCAACATTTGTACCGAAATCTTGAATATCAAATAGTTCGGGGTAAATAGAACATTACGTCAGGTTTTCCCATAATTGAGCTCGTTTTATTCTTTTGTGGTCTAATAGCGTGAGTATTCCAGTTTTTGCAGTAAATTCGATACAAGGTGTGTTTTGAATTAGATCCATGAAGCAAAATTTCAGATTAAAAACAGCGTGGACTGGGTCGAGTTTATCATATCGTCAAGAAGCACGCAAGTCTTTAAAAAAAGCTGAGCCACCACTGTAAACTTCTTCTTGTCGTAAAGAGCCTAACCAACGTTTCACTCGCTGCTGATTGGAAGTACTTTTACCAAATTATAACACTTCTGTGTTTTTGCAAAAGCCGTCAATTGGTTATTGTACCGAAAGAAACTGTTTGTAAAAGTATACATCAGAGTTTTTCTGTTTTTCTAAATCATCACAAACGTATGAATACGAAAGTGCCTTTTTCAATTGACTTCAGGAATGTTTAAAAAATACTTTGAAATGAGGTATGTATTATTGTTTGTTATCCGATACCTTTAGCGAGATATCAGTTTTTACCTTAATCTATCAATAATAACCACGGGATACAAAAATCCAAAAGGGTTTTTAAACTTGCAATAACTATCTAGATGCCAAAATATAGTTTGAGACCTTTCGCACAAAAAAACACGCCTTTTGAGACGAATAGGTTCTTCTCAGATCAGATGGAGTGCCCTCAGGATCTAAAATTCTTCATTACCCTCCATAACTTCCTTGATGAGTTGTCTTCACATTATGATTAATTTGAAGCGAAGCCACCGTTGCCCATAAAAACCTATAACCCCATAGTTTGGTCCACAAGTATTCAGCTCTTTGTGAATGGTATTAATAACTGTGTGGTTGTAATCCCCATGACGTTTTATGTTAAACTTTTCTTTTAGGAATCTATATAATTGCCGCATTGACAACAAAAATTTTATGTCTATTTAAATAAAAATCCTAGAATCTCGGTGTATTTGAAACCCAAGTTTGAAATATTCAATAATAAGTTCGGGACCTCTGTGGCAAATAGGTTGGTACAACACACATCACCACATCAAAAAAAGTGCCAAAATCATTAATATTATGAGCCAATCTTCATTTTTTATTTCTGTTCATCTATATCAGTATCCTGTCAGTTATCTGTAAAGTATATAAAAAATAGTGTTAACAGTCAGATGATAAGTGCACAATAACAACCAATATATCTGGTACTATATGTTCTAGCATAGTATAAAGAAAAATCTAACATGAATTGTTCATGTTTTTTTTTTGTTTGTTTCAATCTTTAACTCGCATGTCAAGGGTTTGCTTTGGATAATACATAACATAATTTATTTAAGTATGATAGTGCAGGAAAGGTTGAGCTTACAGACACTCTCTAGAATCTCTTTATAGGAACGTCAGCAATGGTTGTTTAGTTTTTTTTTGCCCGTGAAGCACCAGCTAGCACAAAACCTAGCAGGGATTTAAACCTAGACTGCCAAGCAAATCCTCCTATCATAAGTTCCAATTGTGTGAACCACTCAGTCAGCCCTGCTACCCTGAGCGACACTATGCGCTAGCTAGCAAATTGATTCATGTGAATATATATTTTAAAAATTAAAAAAATCCATCAACCCTCGAATGTATCAATACTATCTTAATTTACAGGATATGAAACAGCTTCCACAACCGTCATTAAAACAATAAATTTTAAGAGAATCTAAGGGGGAAGGTTTGTATAAACTTCATTTTTAATAAAAGGGGACTTGAAAAGAAAGCCACAGCGTTTAAATCGCAGCTAATCCGAGATAAAAAAACTTTTAGAAGAAGTGTTATAAAACCCCCAATTAAAAAGGGAAAAAAGTTCTAGAAAATAAAGCGTTTTCGTCGTCATATTTTTCGAAAACGCCGATTTTTTCAAACAGGTAATCACAAATTTAAATAAAAGTCACAATCATAATGCAAGTCATAAGACACAAAAAAGGGGGTTAGTTCCCTAATAAAGATAGTGCCTTTGAACTGTATGAATGCAGTATTCTGTCAGAGGAAAAAGGTAATAAAATCAGTTATAACCTTTTTCCACTACAGATTCTTCACAACATGTGGAACAACAAGTGAACAACAGGTAATAAATACACTTAGAACCTCTTACCCCTACATAATTTGTAGAAAAGAAGTTATTACAAAATACTTTTTAATGTTTTGTCCTTATAAGGATTGAATATTTATATAATATTTTCGCCAAACATAAAGGATAATAAGTACATTATAAAAATCATAAAAAGTCGATTTCAGCAAAAATGGCAGTTATAACCTTTTACCTTTGAACCCTCGAACAGTCATTGTATATTTTTATCCCCCCCCCCCCACTTCAATAAATATTTTAATTTTTGTAGTTGTAAAATTGAGGCGTTGTTGAAGTAGGGCATTTATACAGGCAATCAAATTTTATAACAGAATAATCACCTGTAATTGGTGGTCATGACCTGCCATGTAAGCACTCACATTGTACCGATATAACAATGGTTCGAGCCGGTGAGTGAGGCAGTCAGTGGGTCCGTGCTCAGCAACTGACTGTACCGGATAATGGCCCCCAACCAGCAAATAATCTGCACTGATACAACACAGTAACTTATCAATATGTAGTCCGTATAAATGCGGGAATTAATTCAAAATCATTCGAAATAAGGTTCGGTAGATTGTCAAGTATAAATATATTAGCCATACAAAATGCATCAAGTTTAAAGTTTCTGCGAGGAGTATTTTTAAAAGATCCTTTTTGAATTAATATGAATCAGCTTTTCAACTATTTTAAACAGTACAATGTATAAGACATCTACATGTATTATAAACACGTTAACGTTACCAATTTTACTTCTTGTGAAAAAGGCATTTACTTACGTAGACTTGTTTAATGTTTGTTCAATCCAGGCCCATTGTGCCTCGGCCGCCTTTTTATCAGCTGGGCCGGCTGGTTGTACACCCAATGCGAACACATTACCACAGAGCTGTATGGTATCTATAAGCACGATATCCAATGTCTTTCCACCTGGTATTGTTTCACTTACTTTGTGATAATAGTCAGGAAACTTCCTGGCAAGTAAACATGCTGGTATTTTAACGTCATAACAAACTCACGTGAAAAATAATCTTACACCTTCAATAACCTGAGAAGCTTTGTAGAACTTGAACGGATCGAAACTTCATTATAAATTGGCGATTTATGGGTGAAGCTGCAACGTTTATGTATTGAATGCCACGGAGAGTATTTAAGAAATAGAGGATATTTGTTTGTTTGTGTGTAAGATGAAATTTTATTTCATCGAATGCATGGGCTTTAAAAACAGTATTTTCACGAAAGCATACGGCTGTTATTGCTCCTAGGATACCAAATATGCCCAAATTTCATCAAGAGCAGTTTTGCAAGTGGAAGGAATGTATTTTATTTTTCAGACTGTAAAAATGAAACAAAAAGAAAAAAAAATAAGAGACGATATTTGGTGATTGGTAATTTGAAAGAATAGAAGTAAGTTTTCTTCTTTTTATTGCTTTTGACATTAAAGTTACTAATCAATTTCAGCTATGCTTTTCTCTGAACAGCCTGACAGTGTCAGAATTGTCAACAAAAATAAATTTGTGGTACCGGGGAAAATCTTAAGAAAGTAGTTTGTCATTGAAAAGTGTGAAATTATATTTTGATAATTTTCACTGTGAAATTATCAAATATAATTTTCACGGATGAATTAGTAATCCAGTGAAAAGCATAAAATAAAAACGCCGTTTTTGACATTTGACGTGCGCTGCGATTAAATAGTTGCCAAGGTATTTATGGCATATTTGTGCTAGCTATTTGCTGATATTTTCTGTGTAAATTTGTGAAGATCTTTCCATCATATGAGTTTAAAACATACTAAAATATGAAATTCGTACCTATTTTACATGTATGTAGTTTTTAAACAATATTGTCACATAATGTTGGGACAACCCACATACATTGTAAATAATTGCAAAATATTAACATTAATTATAGATCTAACTACATGTATATATAGTTTCTACGAGATCTGGTTCAAAACAAAACAAAATATAACGTAGCATGCATCGATATAAATTCTCATTAACATCTTTATAAAATAACTAATTTAACATACATGAAACTTTTGTACTGTATGCCATTTAAATAATATGTTAATTAACATGTTTCCTCACCATCTGTTAGAACGTTTTGTGTACGCAATTTGTGCCGAGACATTCCCATAATAATCATGATTTCCGGCCACGACATACCAAGGTACGTGTAATGAACTACTGTGATACACCGACTCAAAAGTCGTCTGGAAAAGACGAGCCGACATTAAAGTTCTGCCTAGGTTTAAAGAAAACTGCAATTTGAATTATTGTTAAATGCTCATATACTTTAATAGGTTTCATTAGCATCACATTCAGTTGATATCTTCCCGAAAATCAAAAAAGGTTAAAATTGTTTTGTCAAAATCTTATTCATAATTATGTGAAATTAAATATGAGATGAAACTTCTAAAAAGAATTGTAAAATTGGCATTAAACCTTAATAGTTCAAGTCACATGAAAATGTTACCTGAAACCTTGGGTCATCCACATTTTCCACACCAAACAGGTAAAAGTTATCTCCAAGTGCCACAACGAAGCTCGCTTTTTCCCGCCCTGCAACTATTGACATCTGATCCGCCACTGACGTCTGTACCGGTGTGGTGAATGGATGGAATGACAATCCACCCCAGTCACCGAATGCTAGAAAGTTCACTGATCTATTGACAGGCTCCGACAAGAACGCCTGACAAACTTCGAACGCTACAAAAGAATTTTTTTTATCATTTTTTCATTATTATTACACATTTTATCATTATTTTAGGCTTTAGCTGTTAGTACATTAGATATCATAAAAACTACCTTACAACATAGACTCTTGGTTTGTGGTGCTCCAAATGCGTTCAAATCCAAAAAAAATACATATTTGTCAATCCTAGCATAATATACTTATTGTATAAAGCAATAAATTTTAACTTCTGCTGTTTAGAAAAAAAATATATTTCAGCATCTATAATACGTTGAATTTTTTATGGCATTTAGAGCTCCACACACCCAAATTATTTGTCATCGAACTCTTGCTGCCTACACCTTTGTACAACTTTGTAAATAACAAAGGCATTTCATATGCTGAATATATTATTTTTCAATTCATGTTTGAAAAAAAAAAGAATGCTGGCGTGTACGTGATGCTTGTTCTAATGAATATCAAACAAAATCCATGGAAACCAGGGTTATTCTTACATGTAATGATGTATCTATAAATGTCCTGATTACCTTGTATTTTTATATTTTATTTTGACTTTTGCGCAGATATTCATATTGATAACATCTACAGTTTGACACAAACGTGTATAATATATTGTACATAATAAAAATATAGCAGTTTACCTTGATACACGAAAAATACCGTTATTAAAATGTTCATTTTCTTGTCCATTGTGTAGTCACACTAGATACATTCATGTATTTATCTTATCTTTTGAACGAATTATATAAACCACGCTGTTCTTTTCACACACAATTTATATATATATGAGCCGCGTCACGACAAAACCAACATATAGTGCGTTTGCGACCAGCATGGATCCAGGCCATCCTGCGCATGATCAGGATCCATGCTGTTCGCTTACAAACCCGATTTCAAGTAGAGAAACTGATAGCGAACATCATGGATCCTGATCAGACTGCGCGGATGCGCAGGCTGGTCTGGATCCATGCTGGTCGCAAACGCATTATGTTGGTTTTGTCGTGACGCGGCTCATATGTATACACAAATATATATTTAATTCACGCTTTTTACATAAAAGTGTAGCTACGGGAGATCAGAAAATATGTAGATTTTTTTTCTGTCACTTCTTTATTTGATGTCATCTAGGACTCTCAGTCTTACAATGCATTTTTATTTGACTATTGCACACAACACGAATTATAATAAGTAGCGCGGAGTAACCTATGCGTTACCGCGAAGTAACCTATGCGTTACTGAAATATAACCCTGGTGAAGTTTGCGTCTGTTTAGGATATTCTGCAACGCAGAAGTACGAAAATTTGCAAAAAGATGCGTATACATAGAAAATGAAAATGTCTAAAGTCTCGTTCCAAAGGTGACCGGAAATTCGAACATCTTTTTTCACAATGATTCAAACATCCCGGACGGCCTACGTTGACGTAAGTGACGTCGTTAAGTATATCGCCGTCGAAGTATCTGTGATATCGTAGAAGCTACAGAAAACAGATGTACGGTATATGGAACTGACAGGAACATATTGCTTGATAATCCTAGTTTCAGCTCGCCAAGTTGTACATGTACAAAAAATGCAAAATATGACGATAATTTATTTAATTAATTTAGTCAATTAGCCTTTCGCGTGCTATGAAAATTATCGTCTGTTAAAAATGCCGTCTGCTAGACTGCTAACATAATAATTGTTTTCCATTTTCTCAAAATCGAAAAGAAATGCAGAGTTATAATATATGATCAAACAGTTTGTTATCTGTCAAGACACTGGGCAATGCTGGGGTAGAGCGGGTCTGGGTATTACCGAACACTTAAGGGGAAATAAGTAGTATTCGGTAATACACGTTTCAATTGACATTTGACGAAAATGAGTTTTCCTTTACATTTACATGCAAGAAACACTTATCTTCGCACATTATCTAAAGAGTAATGACATTTTATGTATTAGACATGACTGCTTCTATTACCGACCACCAAACACACATGCGTGTATTTCCGAACACTGCCAACGTTTTAAATATTATTGATGCAAGCAATATATATTTCACAAGTATTCACTATTGAACATTGTATTACCAGAGACATATATTACGTGTTCAAATGTGTAAATATTAAATAATTTAAATACCAATTTTTTTTAAATAACAGCTGACCATGTGATCTTCACAATATTTGCACTCAAAAGAAGTACTTGTCAGATACTCAGGTAGTATGAAATCTACGTAAATCTGTATCCTTTAAAAAATTAACTCCTCTTCAAGGTAGTGTTTGAAATCAGAAAAAAAACGGTTTTTAACTTTTTTTGGGTCTCTCTCTTTACCAAGCTGAATGGTTGTTCGAAGGGTCAGTTCAGGGTTGCGACGAAAGTCGATCTACCGGGTCGTAGCGTCTATAAAACCAGCATAATGTAAATTTATGACAACTATAAATTTGTTTAATCAATCAATCATCGAGTGGTTCATCATACAGACGACCACACTTATTAAACAGTTACAAGAGGACTGTCTTCAGGTGGTTGTCAGATACTCTGTCCGTCCTAGAAGCGTAAATAAACACCCATCTACCATCCCTTTTCAAAGCACTTTACCTGATAATAAAACACCGTCAGCTGGCACTTCAATTGATTCTTGGCCACTGTTGAATTCTAGGAAATGATAAAACAGACTAGCTGGCAAAGTAGTTACAGAAAGTGACCATTTACAAACAGCAAAAGCAAATGAGGAGACAAGCATACAACCTGCCTTTGTCACCACAATTCTCCCGTGGCACTAAATCCAAACCGTCGAATGCATAACCATGAGGTGTTACTTCTTGGATATGGAAATCTATGGCTGTGAACAATATAAGACGGCCATGGCTTTCCATGCTCGGACAATACGCGTATATATACAGACTATGAGTAGTATATGCGGCGGTTTAACCCTCGCCGCACATACTACGTACTACTATGTTTGTGACCCGTGAACGAACAGAAGCTATACGCCAATGCATGACAGCAAAATTTATTGTTGCGGCTGGGATGACTTTGTAGATTGGCGAACAAGAAGAAGATATATCAACCAGACTCTTAACTTATTGAATACATTATGCATGCATACGATTATTGGCATGAGAATGCATTGGAATACTCGGTCGCTACTTTAGATAATAAGTTACTTCTTTAAAGTGTAGTTTTTTTTGTGGTGTTAAAAGATGATTAATTAATCATGTATTAGAATACTGCAGTAGTGAGAAATATGTTTGAAGAAGAAATGATAATGTTAATTCTTAATTAATAATGTCTGTATAATTAAGTTAAGAATTATATAAATATTATACTAAAATGATTTTTGTAAATGAATAATGAATGAAAAGAAATCTGTTTTAATGCTGTCTAGCTTCGAATAATGTGAAGTACAAGTCTATGTAACAATGTTAAGGGTGAATTCTGAAAATTTGACAAGTATAGGTTGTAACAACAAAACAATCCAAAATAATTTATGAAACATGATGAATTCTTGAAAATCAAGGTATTAAAATATTTTATGTTTGTTTCGTAAACTCGGGTGTAGTCTTATCTACGCAGCTTCTTTGAATTGAAATAAAAAATGAAATAATTTTGATATTCATTGGTTCATCTATGTTCTTGTACATCACCGTGATCATCGGCTTTTATTTTTCAGTATTTTGCTATAAAAGGGAATAGTTTCAATTACTGGCAGTTTTACTGTCTCGATTACATTTACCAGAATAACTCCCTAAAATATATCAGAAAAGGTTCAAACATGGCAAGTTATTAGAATACCCCCCCCCCCCTCCCTCGTTGTTAAACAACACCAACCGTGCTTTTTGCACTCTGAAGGCTATTTACTATCTCGAATAAATTACATGTAGATTGTGTTATTCATTTGTTGTTCCTTTTACACACCATATTTAACAAATAAAATAAAAATCTGTCTACAGAGGAGTACAAAACTTTGACAGAACAAAGCTATAGCTACCTGGTTTTCAATGTTGCTCTTTAATTTTACTTTTTAGTTGGAATAAAGGCCTGAAATATAATAACTTTTTTCACTTATATTTAAAATTTCTTAGTTTTACAGACCTTTTTTATTTTGAATGTAATTCAGTACCAGTAAGCAATATTATGTGTGTTTTTTTTTTTTTTTTTCAAATAAGTATAACTTCCCAACATTTTCTGTGTTGTCTGCAAATGTATTATTTTAGAGTATTGATTAACCTAGAATGGGATCTAAGTTATTTTACATGGGCATTCAAACTAGAATTCCTCAGGTGTTGCTTATTTTTAAATGTCGCAAGTTCTCTTTAATATGTAACTTTAAACAACAGGCAAAACTTAAAAATATATCAGTCGCTGTACTGAACGGTAGTTTAATTAGCAGTGAACCGTAGTGGTGGTTAATTTAAAACATGCATACCGAATTCAAATTGAATGTTGACTTGTATAATATTTTCTACAGTAGACTAACACAAAAAGGGTTATACCCAGAATTGTCCCTATAGTATGCAAAAGTAAATGGTCGAGTGTTCTGACAATATTGATTATTTTCTCTCTTTTTCCAACGTCTGAAACGGTCTCCTATAACATAGATTTATCTAATATTACTTTTTTGCTGATTTATTTTCTTATGTTATGCACTTACATTAACACAATAGAATATCATTAAACTTAACAAAAAGAAATCAAAATTACCCTGCCATCGACAAGCTGTCGTGTGATGACAACGATTTTATTATCCCAAAACGATATTTGCACAAAATAATATTCGCATGAAATTAGATTAACCACATCATCAAATTACAAGAAAATCATATTTTAATCCTGTGAGGTAAGTTGAGATTTATGGTATTTTTGTCACATCCTATATAAATCATTATCTATATTCATGAACCCAAATATAGTTTTATTTGGTTTTAGAAAATACAGAAAATCAATATATACGTACGTGGCATTTTACTCGGACGTTGTCATTCGGATAACGATCTGATACACATGATATAGCTGCGTGTTAAAATAAAATTAGGTGGAAATCTTTAATGTAATGTTTTGCAAGCTATCCTTATTCACAAGTGCATAATATTCGTTACAGTTTCCATTTTGAATTGTGTTAAACTGTATTTAAACAAAATGTAACAGGGATAAATTATTCTCGGTGTCAGATTTTAGTTGAATAGAAGAATCTGCTTTGATAGTCTTCATAATAGCTTTCAGGTAAGATTTATGTATATATTAATATGTATTTTTTTCTTCTTCATATTGCAGTTTTCCAATGGTTTCTTTAAGTTTAAGCTATGAAGCCAGGCAGTCTGCTATGTGTTGTTTGTGTTAGCATTATCATCATACTTCTGCTAGACTGTGTGACTGAGGTTCATTCTGGAAGGGTGCAATATCAATATAAGAAATACACTTACAGGAAAAAAAGAGATGTGAGCATATATTAAGTTGTTCGATTGTTGTAAAGTTATTTTCTTTGAAACATCCGTGTAACTGTAACATCATTAAATAGTGGTGGCATGGCAGTTCAAGGCGTTGGACTTGTAATCTAAGAATATAACAGAGTGGGTTTCAACTCCTTCAGCGGCAAAAAACATTACACTATAATTGCTCAGTACTGGTCGGGGACCACCAAAACCGGACAACCATTAAACCCGGACAGCCCAGAACATGCTTCATTTAGTATAAAATTTTTGTTCAGTGGTTGTCAGTCACTTTTTTATCAACAATAAATGCATGTTTCTTCTAGAATTAAGTAAATGAATTTATTTCAACCTCCGTAAATTGTAATATTTTAATGTCTATTTCAAGAATGTTGACGTTGAAATTTGGGGGTCAAGAAAGCAATGCCTGACCTCATATACCAACTATAATCATTTGCAGAGTAAACAATAGAATATCCAAAACTTGAGCATTTGTTGCTGACATATTGTATATCATGATAAAAATAAAAAAAACCCAAGCTTTTATCTGAATTAAATCACGTTATGTACATATCTGTCCGGACACATGGTACTGAAGTGTAGACAATTTAGGTAATTTTGATACCCTCCGTGTCGAGCCTCAGATTTAAGTGTCAATACATTCAGAAATAAACAAACTAGTTTGTTAGTTAGGACAAGAACCTGGCTGAACTGTGTCAAATTTTTAGATCTCTAGGTTAAAAATTATGAAATGTGTACAGAAAAATGTTCAAAAAGTGTCCGGTTGATGGTCCCCGACCAGTACTGGTTTAATAGTTCCAGGAAAGAAATAAAATATCTGTCTGCAAGCAAAATATCTTTCTACACGGTTACAATATCAAACTAACTTAATTCTGTATAATCTTAACGAAAAATAATTAATACTTGTTCAATGATTCAGTGCTCTGTCCTTTTTAGGACCTTCTTTGTATTGAATACTTGACATATTGTAAAGACTAAATATTTTTTTTTATTTTTCACATTGAAATTAAAAAACAGATCTATCTATTGTTATGTACACTGCTGTACTAATTTTGCTAAGAGTTTTCTACATGGTTCAGTAGCTTTAAGAAATTTATTTCAATATGTTTTTTAAAAAAAGATTAATGTTGAGTAAATGGTCCAGCATTTGCATGTGTTTGAGCCCTGATATTAATTAAATTTGAAGGGGGTCCCCCTCATCGCCAAGAAATTTTGGACTTGTAAGAGGCTAAAAATGACCCCAGGTCGATTATAAGTAAACGTGTAACCAACGCTGAAAAGCCTTTGACTCTAACTCAATCCATTGAGAAGTGGCAGCACATTGAAATCAATTTTGATGGAAAAAATCAATGCAAAATAGTGATTTTTGGCAATTTTGAGATGTCCCCTAGTTGCCATGGTATTAGGAAATTTAAGACTGAGCATGTTGTTACAAAGGCAATGGTCCAGTCAACATTTGCGCCAAGTTTAATTAGTATTGAAGTAGTTTTTAGCTCGACTATACGAAGTATATGGAGAGCTGTCCTACTCGCCCCGGCGTCGGCGTCCAGATTAAAGTTTTGGTGCAGTAAAATATTTTTCACTATAACTTTGTCATTTCTTAAGGTATCAACTTCAAACTTCAAATATATGTTCCTTATCATCAACCACATCTTATGTGACAATGTTCATAACTCTAGCACCAATATTTTCAGATTTATCTCCCCTTGAACTTAGAATTTTCCTTAAAAAATACTATTTTTTACTGTTACTTCTTTATTTCTTAAGGGATCAACCTCATACTTCAAATATATGTACCTTATCCTCATCCCCATCTTATGTGACAAGGTTCATAACTCTAGCACCAATATTTTTTAGATTTATCTCCCCTTGAACTTAGAATTTTCCTTAAAAAATACTATTTTTTACTGTTACTTATTTATTTCTAAAGGGATCAACTTCATACTTCAAATAAATGTACCTTATCATCATCCCCATCTTATGTGACAAGGTTCATAACTCTAGCACCAATATTGCAAGACTTATCTCCCCATCAACTTAGATTTTTTTACTAGAAAAATGTTATTTTTTACTATAACTTTTTTAGTTTTAAAGGTATCTACCTCAAACTTCAAATACTTATTCCTTATAATCAATTATATTTTATGTGACAATGTTCATAACTCTTGAAGTAATTTTTACAGATTTATTTCTCTTTGAACTTAGGATTTTCTTTAAGAAATATTATAACTTTGTTACTTTTTAAGGTATCTACTTCAAACTTCAAATATATACTTCTTATCATTACATACATGTTGTGTGACAAGGTTCATAACTCTAGCGTGACTATTTCTAGAATTATTTCCCTTGATCTTGGAATTTATTTTAACAAATGTTATTTTTTTACTATAACTTAATACATAATTATACATAATTGATTTTTCTTTCATAGTTTTGTCCTCCTTACTGCGTCCAGTATTTTATTAGTCGAGCTTGGCTGTCTCCTGTGACAGCTCTTGTTATAGTTTTATAGCAGCTTGAACTTGTAATGGGAGACTTTTCAATGAAAACAGCCATTTTTCAATAAATGCTCATGCGGTAATGGGTTTAATCCGTTTATATGTGTAAAATTTAAAAAGGACATGTATTGGTAATGGACTAATGGTATACAAGAATTACATTTTGTTACATAAATTTCTTGTAGGATAAGATCTACAAGAATGCAAAACAACCTTGTGATATAAATCCTGATTGTCTTGCAAAAAGAGGAGCTGAACAAGCTATTTGTATACGGAAGTGCATCTCTGACTTTTGTTACACCGACATTTATTCTCAAGACGAGGTATGTTGTTTTGTAGACAAGTTAAAATAAAGGTCTAATGTAAAGTAGGACTAATGTAAAGCTTTCCTAATTGTTAAATGTGACGTCCATTTTTAGCTCGACTATACGAAGTATATGGAGAGCTGTCCTACTCGCCCCGGTGTCGGCGTCCAGATTTTAGATTATAGTTTTGGTGCAGTAAAATATTTTTCACTATAACTTTCTCATTTCTTAAGGTATCAACTTCAAACTTCAAATATATGTTCCTTATCATCAACCACATCTTATGTGACAAGGTTCATGACTCTAGCACCAATATTTTCAGATTTATCTCCCCTTGAACTTAGAATTTTCCTCAAAAAGTACTATTTCTTACTGTTTCTTCTTTATTTCTTAAGGGATCAACCTCATACTTCAAATATATTTACGTTATCATCATCCCCATCTTATGTGACAAGGTTCATAACTCTAACACCAATATTTTCAGATTTATCTCCCTTTGAACTTAGAATTTTCCATAAAAAATATTATTTTTTACTGTTACTTATTTATTTCTAAAGGGATCAACTTCATACTTCAAATATATTTACGTTATCATCATCCACATCTTATGTGACAAGGTTCATAACTCTAGCACCAATATTGCAAGAATTATCTCCCCATAAACTTAGATTTTTTTACTAGAAAAATGTTATTTTTTATTACAACTTTTTTTATTTTTAAAGGTATCTACCTCAAACTTCAAATACTTATTCCTTATCATCAATTACATTTTATGTGACAATGTTCATAACTCTTGAAGCAATATTTACACATTTATCTCTCTTTGAACTTAGGATTTTCTTTAAGAAATATAATAACTTCTTTACTTTTTAAGGTATCTACTTCAAACTTCAAATATATATTTCTTATCATTACACAAATGTTGTGTGACAAGGTCCATAACTCTAGCATGACTATTTATAGAATTATTCCCCTTGATCTTGGAATTTTTGTTAACAATATTATTTTTTTAATATAACTTAATACATAATTATACATAATTGATTTTTCTTTCAAAGTTTTGTCCTCCTTACTGCGTCCAGTATTTTATTAGTCGAGCTTCGCTGTCTCCTGTGACAGCTCTTGTTCTGTTTGTTTTTGTTGTTGTTTTTTTTTTCATAAGATTTTATTCAAGAAAAATTTAGATATTTTGTATCACCATTGCAGAAAAATTTAAATCTTTTTATAAAAGAAATGTAGGCTATCAAGAAAGTTTATAATACGAGTAAGGTCTCTTTACTTTGATTTGATCAGTGTTTTTTATAGGCAGGATAAATGAATAAATAATTATAAATGAGTACTTTTTATAGGGTATATTAGGGTAGTTTTATGAATTTGGTTCCATTCATGTGCAGTTGTTTGAATCTGCTGTTAATGTATTAGATAAGTATATACATGTAGAACAAGAAATTACAATAGAACCTGTTTTTGTTATTTTACTGGCTTTCTATATTAATACATGTACACAGAAATGCTAGGTTTGTTTTATTGTACAATGTATGACATGACATATCTGTCTATTTCAGCTTGAAGAAGGAGAAATTGATGTGAGACTTAATTCTTTTAAAGGTTGTGTTTCCCAAAGAAAATAAAACTGAACTGTGTGACTTCGATACAGTCATATAAATGTTATTAAGTTGTGAACACAAAAATCTTAGTGACTTTTTAGAGTTCTGTTGTTGAAGAAAAAAGTTTTAAATAAGCTGAAAAGTTTAAAATCTGTAAATTAAAACAATGGCTGAGGGAGGTGAGAATGATTTTAGGGGTCCTATAACCCCCATTAAAGTTAATGAGATAGATGGTCTTATTAAATATCTTCAGAGTATTAACTGGACTGAACCATGGTTCTCTGGTCTTGCAGCATTCCATATAAGTTGTGCAATATTGACAGTACTAACAAGAAACTCTGGAGTTCCCCAAGCTATTTATTTTAGCGTGTTGATGATTTTGGTATTTTGTGCTGAATTTATAAATGAATGGGCTGCTGAAAATTGGAGACTGTTTTCAAGTGAGCAATATTTTGATAGCAATGGTTTCTTTATATCCATAGTGTTTTCTGTACCCTTGTTACTTAATTGTTTAGTGATAGTGATCACATGGCTTTGGGATGTTGGAATGCTCATACAAAATGTTAAACAGATGAAGATAAAACACAGAAGTAAACTTGCAGAGAAACGGAAAGAAAAACAAGATAAAGAGGAGAATGAGAGAGATGATGATGAAAATAACATTGGTGCACAGGAAAAGGAAGATGTAGAAGAAAGTTCCGAAAATGATGAAGAAAATTCAGAAAGTGAGGATAAAAAAACTAAGTGATGTGAACTTTTAACCAGAATATACTTTGGTATTATAAAAACTTTGACTTGTTGAGTGTTGACTCAAATTCAAATCGACCTTTCTTCACAATGAAACAGATGTTTTAAACCGTTTGAACTGAGATGTAGTCATGTTATATTATTTAATCCATTGTATTACATATCATCAATGCATAATATGTTATAAAGATTGATACATACATACCAAATTCATGCCTATTCTGTTTCAGTCATTCATTGTCATAGTTTTTATAAAGACATCACTTGACCAGTGTGAACATTTCTTGTAATGCTTTTTATTTATTTAGAAAAAATACAATAAACACACGGTGCTTGTATGAGCTTCTGGGATTATTGGCTGTAGGTTGTCAATAATTGTTTCAAATAACAGTCCTGTGTCTTAGATAAATGATAAATGGCATATTGCATTAAGCTCTAGTTAAGATCAAAGGACTAAAAACAAAATGATGAAGTACAAATGTACCTTAATGATGTTGTTAAAAGTTTAGTTGTTTAACTTTTTAATTGGTTTAAATATCTTTTCTTGACTTGAAACTTTGCTTTTTTGAAATGAGAAATATTGTTTATTATTTATGGTTTGGTAGTATTATGCTGCCCTTTGGTACATTTTTATGCAACACTTAGTCCCTTCCCTATGTGAGCAATGAAGGAGCAATAATGGCCCTATTGTTTACAAAGGAGGTACATGTACTGTTTTGTTCACAGGATGTTTGTAAAATAGTTTGGGTTTTATATAAATAACATTTTCGCTTTGTGTAACAAACAAAAACTTGCATGATTTAATCTTTATAGTTGTAAAATTTGATAATGTTTTTATTTGAAAAAGAACATTGCCATAAAGCTTGGGTTTATATCATTTTAGGTGCAATTTTCTGCAAATTAACTTTTGTACATAAATAAATGCGTTATAACAAACATGCATTATAACTCTTAAAACACAACTTTCATTTACTTCATTAATGAAAGCTTTTTGTATTCCTCACAAAATCACTGTAAGTGGCCAAAATATGATTAAATAAAAAGTGAAAACTACATTTTGTGTTTTGTTTTTAAGCATCGTAAATCTTGTTGTTTTCCATGTCAAATCATTGTTAAAGAAATTATGCTTTTTGTGTGAAGCCTATTCAGACAAATATGGTAGAAATCTTTACAATCTAAAGTATTTTATATTTATTAAAGACAAAAGTGTATTGTTATTTATGTAAAATGATACAAACACCAGATAAATATAGTATGTGTAGGATGCTACATACACAAAGAGCACAGTTTGTGGACAAGTTTAGGTGTTTGACAAGTTTTGAAATTTGATATGTATAATTTAACAGGCCTTTTATATAATGCTTCCCTATTATCAAAGCAAATTATATATCTGTTTATTTTGTAGTCCTATCAATGCATTGTAATACAAATCTATTCTTTTTGAAAATAGCTTTATAAGCAATTTAATGTTTCTAGTTCTTATAAAGTATCAAATTACTTGATTTTAGAGTAATTACATGTACACGAAATGTTTTACATACTGTTAAATGGCTAAACAGTGATAACTTTGGTCAGGGCAGTCAACATCCTCTAAAATTCCAGTACCCCTTGAAGAATTTTCTTCAAACATAGCTCAAATGTTCATCTCATTAAAGCAATGTGCAAATCCATGCCATCTCTGTGCTGTCACAAGATCATAATTGAAATAGACACATGCTATTGCTGTGCAGGCTCAAGGTTATCTTTGAATGTCATATAATTTTGTGTTACTCTATAAATCATTTACAACAAGCATTTGATAGTATTGCGGGCAATACAGTAGTCCCCTACCGGTCCCTCAAAAAGTTCTTTAATTGTCATACACTCCTGTGTATTGCCATTTATAATGAATTTGAGGATGAAGTCTGTATTTGAAAATATCGACCACAAAACATAATAAAATAAGTTTGTCTATATCACAGTAATGTGTTAAGTTTCCATGCTTAGTAAGGAAATTATGTTTATACAACCTTGTCATATTATTACGATGTGTGATTTTAAAGTAAATCCTATAAGGAATGAAGAAGTTGGAGTGAAAATACCAGTATCTCGAAAAAAATCTAAGTTCAAGGGGGACATTAATTCTGGAAATAGTCTTGCTAGAGTATTTAAACTTCTCAAAAATGTCGAGTGATAATAAGAAACATATATATGAAGTTTGAAGTAGATACATTAGGAAATAAAGAAGTTATTTAAAAAAGACAACATTTTTTCCCCTAAAAAATCTAAGTTCAAGGGAGGTAATACTGATATTTTTTGTGCTAGAGTTATAAACCTTGTCACATATGATGTGGTTGATGACCAGAAACTTATATTTAAAGTTTGAAGTAAACACCTTAAGAAATAAAGAACATATAGTGAAAAATCTGAAAAATTTAAATCAGAAATCTTGAAATTCAGGCTATTTGTTGCCATAGCAACCAGAATTTTCAACATAAGAAAAAAAGAAAAAGATGTGCATAACCTCCAGACTGCCATCTACCCATATTTCAAGTTTCATAAAAATATTTTCAGTACTTTTTGAGTTATCACTGGATCCAGTTTATGTGTTAAATTTGCCATATTTTCAGACTATTTGTTGCCATAGCAACCAGAATTTTCAACATAGGAAGAAAAAAAAAAGACGTGCATAATCTCCATACTGCCATCTATCCATATATCAAGTTTCATAAAAATATTTTCAGTACTTTTTGCGTTATCACGGGATCCAGTTTTGTGGACGGACGGACTGACGGACTGACAGACAGACAGACAGACGGACGGAGGGTAAACCTAAAGTCCCCTCCGGTTAAACCGGTAGGGGACTAATAAGGCAGTTCTGGCAGCATATACTCCACTCTCCTGCCAGCTCACCCTTGTAAGATAGCTTCTCGTCTGCTCTGTAATTCTATATCCCTGAAGCGTTTCAGTAAACCTTGTCTCTAAGTTCACTTCAAGTTGATGTACAGCCTAAGCCGCTGTTTGGCCAGCTCAAGGTCACAATTGAAGGTCAAAATTCAGAAAATTTTGTGTCTGCAACGAGTGCATTATAAATTCTATACCTGCTTCAACCTTACCTCAGTATATTCACTTTAAACTACATAAAATCCGGTCATAGAGAGGATACTTTTTATTTTGTCTTCTAATTTCACTCCATTTTTCTAGCATACAGATGAATAAGCTAAATTGTTTAATCGAGTAAAGTGTTATAAATGGAACGACAAGAGCGATCATTGAACATGTGTTGCCTCATGATGCCAGTTGCATGTTGCAGCTACTGCATGGTTCATACCAAATTCTCAAATCAAAATTCAAGGACTTTTCAAGGACTTTTCAAGGTAAAATTGTCATTTTCAAGGCATTTTTTTCCCGATTGATCTTATTTAAAATTATACTTTTACAACCATATCTGTGATATACATTTTTATTGCAATTGATCTTATTTAAAATTATACTTTTACAACCATATCTGTGATATAAAACATGTAAATAAAACATGTGTATTTCAATTTAAGGTTCAAATGACTAGAATTGCAAAACAGTGACTATATTAAGAAAATCAGCACAGACAGTAGAATATATGAACACCAAAACTGTAACATATAGGTGATTGAGTAAATTCACACAACTCTATCTAGTTTTTCCTTTCTTTTTTGGATTTCTCTTCCAATTTCCTCAACTTCCAGTTTCTTTTCTTTGAAGCCCTTTCTTAGAATGTTTGATTCAGTCACAAATCAATGATTACTAGAAGTGGGTGGGGGTGGTATTGTCATGTCATGCACAGTTTCCGTTGTGGATAGGGATGGCAAAATGTTATTATTTGAATCAGATCTACTGCAATTTTCAGTTTTGACATTTATAGTTCCTTCCTGTCTGACAAATGCAAGGCCACACTTCGTCAATGACGACTTGATGTCTAGATTTTTTAGGTGCTTTGCACCCCTCGCATGCGATGTTAATGCACTCTCTCCCATTTGCGACAAATCGATGGTTTTCATACACATGGTGCATTGTGCTTTTCGTGGGTCTTGTATAACTTGTTTTACCCAACTGTATTGTTGAAGCCATTTGAGCTGAAACGTACATTTCTTAGTGTATTTTCCCATTTTTTACTTCGCAATGGAAGCTGACATTTTGTACACAATTTGCGATGACGTCATACACAAGTGCTTGTTAAAATCCGTGCCAAAACCGTAACGCTGGCTAAACACTACTAAAACAGATCCAAATGGGCGCACTCGATCGGGCTGCCTTCGTTCACATGTCCGATTTTGTAGCGGAAAATTTGCCTGACCTTTACAGCGACAGGTTTTATACCGTCCCTTTTGGATTTTCAAGGCATTTTACCGAAATTCAAGGGGGTTTACTGAAATTCAAGGACAATTTTAGTGTTTTTTCAAGGCAACCCTGAATTCAAGGACTTTTCAAGGTTGAAACCAAATTCAAGGACTTTTCAAGGCCCGTGCGAACCATGTACTGTGTAGCTGGAGACACAAAAATCATTAATGGGGTGAAATGGATTTTTTTATTCAAGGGCCATGACTCGGCCAAAAAATTATTCAACCGGAAAACCTGTGTAATGTATGCAAGTACTTGCTATCAATTAGTTGTGTAAAGTTTCATTGAAATTGCATTAGTTGTACAAGAGTAGTGTGAACAAATTTTAAAAGTGAAAATAAATCAAGGGCTATAACTCTGACAAAAATAATTGGACCAGAAAATGCCAATGATATGAAAAACTAGTCGGTGCTGATCATTTCTGTAAAGTTTGAATGAAATTGCACTAGAAGTTTCTAAGGAGTAGAACGGACAGACGACGACGTAGAAATGATCCCTATCTGTCTCCACTACTCTGAAGAGTCAACACAAAAATAACAAACTCCACTGAAATTTTGAACATTTACATTTATTATTGCATTTACTCAAGAATATATATGGTTACAAACATTCGTATTGCACTGTCATTCTGTCTAAAAATATGTAATGTAATTAATGAATACATAATTATGATATTAAAGGTGATGAAAGATAGAGTGATAGGGAGATAAATATGATCAGTCAAACAGATATGACAAAAACTGCAGTGAATTTGCAGAATTTCTTAATAACTATTATTTATCTTCTGGTTGTTTGGAAATTAAAATACATCAACAAGAAAATAATCACTTAATCAACTTTACATGAAAATATTGTACCTACTGAGATTTTGATTATATCATAACTATAATAATCATATAGTAACCAAAGTGTTCTTAATTAACCAGGTTTTTCTTTTTTTCCAAACATGAAGTTACTCTCATTTGAAACTGCATTTAATTTTACCATGAATCGTTTATTTTAAGCTTGATAATTAAAGCAGTTTTAATTTTACAAACCAATTCTACGAAGTTATCAAACAACCCTCAAAAATAATATTTCTGACAATTTAGACGGAAGTCTCATAATCAAAATTAAATAATAAAAATTTGTTTTATCCATAGCTAAAACCATTTCTATATGTCAATTTCAGAAATAGCGCAAGTATTAATGTTAGAAAAACTTCTTTGCAATTGTCTTACAAGTCCTTCACATTTTACAAAACTGAATGAATAAATTAACCGTATTATTTCCTGTACGCGCATGTTACTTTTGATAAACAATCATCTTTGTATATCACTGATATATGACAGTCAATCTTAAATCACATTTTATCTGTAGTGGTACAGGCTTTACACGCTAGTTTATTTATACCCTCAACATAGCAGCAAAAAAAACCAGTAAGCAAGAAAATTCAGCCTGTCACTATGCCACTTCCTCTAATCTGGCCCTCTTATTAGCTCCGGCTTGTTTCTTTTTAGCATTTGCAGCAGTGTTATTTTCTTTACCATCATTTGATTTGTTTGCGTGTTGTACATATCTAGTTACTGTTGATACACCATCTACAAACTTTGTCTTGAACAAAACATTGGCATTGTTGAACATTCCGTCTTTAAGAGAGACAACTATGAACTGCAATAGAAGAAATATACAAATTCAGTCTGTATGAATAAACATCTGGAAATAGAATTATACATTTACCTTGTGAAATAATATTCAAACTGGTCATTTGTCAAACAGATTTCTTCTTTCTAAACCAATAAATGACAACCAAAATGTGTGGATTCCATGTTAAAACCTTTCATTTTTCTGAAACTTCTAACATCCAAAATGTAAACAATATCTTGTAATGGCATAGCAATGATTTTCTTTTTAATTTTCAAAACAACCTCTGGCTTTCTGAAGGGGAAAATATCGTGGATAAATCAGAAAAGGGGAAATCAAATTCCCACCGAGAATAGAATTTACCCACACATTTTATAAAATTTCAATTTCAATCCAATCTAACATACATGGTTCATAGCAGAGGCTTTCTATAAGAACCACCATTGTCTTTTAGCTGATATATTTTGGTGCAGAATGTGCACACTGAGGGCATTTGGGGAAAATATTTTCATTTTTGGAGGAAAATATACCTATTTTGGGCTAGGGGAAACATCCTTTATTCAGCTGTAAAATAATGGTAAAATAATCACTGCATAGGCTTGTGAAGTTGTGAAACATCAAGTCATCCAAATTCTGCTCAACAGAACTCGGCTACACAAGCAAAAAGATACTTACACACTTATATCATAAATTATCATTATGGCTGGTGGCCCATATGTTAAACAAACGCCCAACAACAGTTACCATATCATAAGTAGAGAATTTTCAAAGAATCTGAAGCTAGACATAAACCTATTTAAAGTCTAATAGAAGTTACGACTAAGATAAGAGTACCTGTGAATGTTTGAAGTGAGATTTGATCATCTGTCCTATATTTTGTGTATGTGAGATATCAAGTGCTGCATCCACCTCATCCAAGATATAAATAGGAGCTGGTTTAAACAGCAACATAGCCAAGATGAGAGACAAAGCAATCAGGGACCTGAAAAATATCATTTTATCATAGTGTAACAAAAATTACAGACATTTTATTGTATTTCATGTTAAATTAATACTACTAGGGTCATGTGTCAACTTGACAAGGATACAAAAAATATTAGTGTTGGGGAGATACAGCAAAGTATAAATTCAGATCAGAAAATAAGGAAAGATAACTATAGTCAACTGTCGATGCAGTTGGATGGTTTATATTCTATTTCTAACAAGTTTCCTTTCCATATGTGAAGAGAGGAACTGAGTTATCAATTACATTTTACTTTAAGGAAGACATGATTTACATGTCCTGTTGAGGTTAATATACCAAACATCACAATATACAATGTAACATTATTTAAAGTTAATTACCTTTGACCTCCTGATAATTCTGAGAGAGAATCTTTCCATACATCCCCAAAACCAACCTTCACCTCTAAACCATCCAGCACTGACTGACCTTCTGGTGGAGCAAGTTTGGCTCGAGCACCTGGCAGCAGGGTGGAGTATATACTGCCAAAATCCTAATTCAAAAGAAATATAACATGTAACTGTTATATAGACCCTTTCATTTAAGCGATAACAGTCCGGGAAGAGCTACTTCCCTTACCGGATGTGACGTAAATGGGGGATAAAACTATGCAGGCCGCATAGAGTGTTAGCTTATTGAAAAGTTAAATGCGTAAATACTGATCGTTCAATTATGATTATAACATGTAAAAATTTACGCATGCATACATATATTCAATATCAAGACAATAGAAAAAAATACAAAAACAAAGATTGAGATTAATTCTCGCTACGGAGTGAAACAGTGAAATTTCATAGTGAATACAGTATATTTATTAATTAGATCTAGATTTTCTCTAATGCCAGGATAAAAAGCTAGTAACTAAAACAAATTTTAATATTTTATAAACACCCATACGCACTGAAATTGCCTATTATAAATTTAAATGGCCGTTTTCTAGTTTTCTGTGATATTTTCTGCCATTTAGAAAATTCTGGCGTATTTGTGACAAACATGAAAATAAGATTGCCAATGTCCTGTTTTTCAAGCTTTAATAGAACAACAACAGAATTCATTCTGTCAATAGTTACTGATTCTTTTTCATTAGGCCTATGCCGTATAAAAATATTTCAAAGAACCAGTGAAGGATATAATTATATAAATAGTCTGGAAAGAACGAAAACCATGTGGCATTGACTTTTATAATTTTAGATTCGCAACAAACGATAATAAAATAATTTTGATATTAAAAATTATTCTTATGGTTATAAAAATAAAGACCTTTTCCTAGTAACTTATTTCATTGATATATAGATGTGTATATATAAGCACCACTGGGCCGTAACATATTAATTAAAAGGGTGCATATGTTGTATATACAAGCAGCACTTGCCTGTGATATCATAAATCACCAGGGTGCATTTTTTAGAGTTATAACATTACACCAGATTACGTCACTTTTGTTAGTTGTCAAAAAATTTTATAGTCCGAGTTTTGTTATGGATCATCCTAGGGACTTTATAGGTCATGCCTTACCGATTTGACACTCGATCCAGAGTCCTACCAACTGGCACAGTCAAAAATAAGTAAAATTTTTATTATTATTTTTTTGAATATTTGATAAGCAGAGTATGAATAAAAAAGTATCAATTTGAAAATATCACTTTAGCAGCTTAAATATATTGGTGGGATGTACGATTTTTGAGAGTGCATTTTTTGCCGACACAAATAGTATACAGTCATGTACATTCAAAAGAATTTTTACTTTTTATGCCTTTACATTTTTTTTTAAATAACAAAAAATAATATTGTTGTTTTTCTTTGTCTAAGTCATGCTTAAATCAAAATGATTTTTAATAAAGCCGTTTTTCGAAACCACAGAATCCTTACATTTTTGAAACTCAAAATATCTTTTGGGCATTGTATATTAGCAGAGACATAGATACATTATCTATATCTCTGGAAAAGTTAGTACGATTTAACTGCCTGGAAAAATTTTCATTATTAAGAATCTAACGAAAATGGTCAGTTAGCCAGCAATATGGTCTACTATTAAAACAAATCGTTAACCTTATTAAAGTAAACATTTTTATTAATTTCACCATCCTTTTTATGTAATATCTTATTCAATTACACAAATTTTGGCAATTTCAATCTGCCAACCTTACAAGAGAAATGATTAAGATCTTTATATCCCTCTATTATTGTACTTTATCGTATCGGCATTGTCCACCGTATCCCCCAATGACGTCATCCAAGGGCGACAACTTGAATACGGTCTTAAATGAAAGGGTCTATACACAGCTTTCAACAAGAAATATTCCATGTATGAACGATATAATAAATATCCCGGTATGGTGTAAAATTCAAGATCTAAAATATGACCTACATGTTGGTCAGGGTGGTTTAAGTAAATGTCAAGGTCACATTTCAACATGTTTAATCAAAGTTTTCATCTAAGGGTGAATTGTAAAATAATAGTGTATTTCATAATAAGTCTATATTCCCCAATTGTATTATGTTTCAAGTTGTTTGTAGGCAGGTAGACATTGCAGAGTAAAATATGCCCATTACAGGTTTTTTCCCCAGTATTTTGGGGAACATGACCCATACCCATGGAATTGGAAATTCATTGATGTTTTGTTAAAATTTGGGGAAAAATGCATGACAAATTATGCAGTGATTAAATGAATGCAAAAAAGCCCTGTCTAGGATGGCATCTTCAAGCATTTAAACACCATAACAGTGAAGAAGCCCTAATTTTCAAAGATTTTAGAATTTGTTATTCATTATTTTTATTTTGTAACTTGCAATTGGGAATTTTTTCCTGTGAACTGGGAAATTAGTATACTATTTTCAATTGGGTATAACCGAATATCGGCTAGAAAATAAGCCAAAAAAAAAAAAAAAAATCCCTGCATTAATATCAAAATAAATTTGCAACCATACTAGGGCATGTATTTTAAGTAAATTCATTTGTCAAACCAATGACAGACAGTTGCTATGTGAATAACACATTAAAGACAGTGCTAATTTTGATTGAAGAAATTACAATACCTTATTGACTTGTTCCCAAGCTTTCTTCAATGCCTCATTTTTCTTTTCATCAAGTTCAAGAATAACTGCAGAAATCTTGGCTTTATCATTGAGCACAATCTTTCGTTTCTTCATCAAATCTTGGTACTGGAGGATAAAACATGGGTAAGAATGGTATTAGAGATAGAGATTATCTGGGGAATGTAGGTCAACTGTTATCAAGTAATAAACTAGAGGATGCTTTTGTAAAAAAGCGCATGTCTCCCCCACTGCTGAGAATAAATGTGAATGGAAACAGGAATGGAAATGGAGATAAGATAATGTAAATACCCGGTAGTCACTTCAATGAAGGCTGTCTATGGATGGTTTCTATTGTTAAGGTTGTATGAGAAGATGCTTCCTAAACTGTTTGTTTTTAACCAGGTATTACATTTTGAATATGTCTCCCCCCAGTTTGAGGGTTGTAGGTCAAAAGGAACTCTAGTTATCATCCGGAAATGAGAAATTGACCAACGGTCACTGTGACCTTGACCTTTGACCTACTAACCCCAAAAACAATAGGGATCATCTGCTCTATAAGACCAATCATCCTATGAAGTTTGAGGGCTGTAGGTCAAAAGGAACTCTAGTTATCATCCGGAAACGAGAAATTGACCAACGGTCACTGTGACCTTGACCTTTGAACTACTGACCCCAAAAACAATAGGGATCATCTGCTCAATAAGACCAATCATCCTATGAAGTTTGAGGTCTGTAGGTCTAAAGGAACTCTAGTTATCATCCGGAAACGAGAAATTGACCAACGGTCAGTGTGACCTTGACCTTTGACCTACTGACCCCAAAAACAATAGGGATCATCAGCTCTATAAGACCAATCATCCTATGAAGTTTGAGGGCTGTAGGTCAAAAGGAACTCTAGTTATCATCCGGAAACGAGAAATTGACCAACGGTCACTGTGACCTTGACCTTTGAACTACTGACCCCAAAAACAATAGGGATCATCTGCTCAATAAGACCATTCATCCTATGAAGTTTGAGAGCTGTAGGTCAAAAGGAACTCTAGTTATCGTCCGGAAACGAAGAATGGACGGACGGACTGACGGACGTTCTCACAGGACAGTAATTATGTGGCTACTCTATTGTTCTCTCTATTGTTCTTTTTAGCCACACAAAAGAAAATAGCCACATAAAAGCATTACGGAATGAATGACATCAAAGAGAAAGAACAGTTACCTATTGTCCCTCTAGCCACATAATTACTCTCCTGTGAGTGCGGACGGACGGACGGACGGACGGACAGGGCAAAAACAATATGTCTCCCCCCGAGGTGGGGGAGACATAATTAGACAAGCTGTTTGTGGTGAAAGTCAAAGCAGCCTTGACCTTTCACAAACTGATCACAAATCAACAGATGTCATCTTCAAGTTATGATCAATCTTCCAAGGAAAACCTACCTAAAATCAAAAGGGTTCATCAACACAACTGTCATGTCCACTTACCCTAATGTAGACCAAACATTTTCTTTGAACTGATAAAAAAGGTCTGATGTACCTACCAACACACTAATAAAGCAATATACCCTGCCTCCAAAAGCTGCGTGATAATGCCTTATCTTACTTTAATGATTAATAAGTGGACTGACAGCACATTGATCAATTATTGGATAAAATCAGAATGTTCATTTGGGATGTTATACTTTTCCAGTGAATATACATGTATATTTCACTTTCTTGTCACTGTGAATACAAATAAATTAGAAATGCCTAGTAAAAATCTAAGCAGGATACAGAATTAAGATTACCTGTTCCTCAGCTTTTCCTAACATATTCATGGCTCTCATGTTAACATTCCTCGCTAGTTTCTCTTTTGTCTCTGTCAATTTCTGAATTCTTCTCTCACTTTCCTTTGGATCATTAACCTTAAAATCATACGCTGTGTTTGGCTGGTTAAACTGCTTCCTCTCGTCTACTATCCACTCATATGTCTCAAGCATGTGCTCCACCTATAAAACATAAACATCAAATATAAAGTTAGGTTCATTGCAACTTTTGTCCTAAATTGAACCCCATGTTCTTTGTATCATATTTTTGTGTTAAATGCTCATAGTTTTGACTTTTCCCCCTCCCCTACAAATGAAAGATCACAAACTGAAACATATACAGCATTACATTGATCACAGATCTTGATGCATTTCATATGAATTTTATATTTCACCATATTTACATATTTCTTGTAAATTTGTAACAAAAAAAGTTTAATTATCTATAAATTAATAGCTAGTCAAATTCTGGAGGAGCCAATTTACATGAATGCAAGTAAAAATTGTCAGAAAACTTGAAAACCCTGAATTTATTATTATTTCAATTAGCTTTATATAGAAGAGAGTTTTCAAGAATAGAAAAAAAACCCTTAACTTCCGGCAAATGCCTGAAAACTTTGTAACAGGGTTCATACAGACATCCAGTATCAAAATTCAAGGACTTTTTAAGCAGTTTTTAAGCATGTTTTTCCATTTTTCAAGCACAATTTGTTGCGTCTATATCCTACACAATGTTTAACCAATATTAATTTATAAGTCATTTCTTGTTGAAAATACATTTTCTGGCTACAGTTTCTATAGAATAACAACAAAGATAGCAACAAATACAAACTTAACTGCCACCCTGTTGTATGGCCCCCTGTTAAACCCCTAACTTCAATATATCATAAACAAGATCAGGTTTTTTTTTGTTTTGTTTTTTTATTTGTTTATTTTTACCGACACTAGTCTGTCATTCAATTATTTTCAAGCACATTTGTAGCGAATTTAAGCACTTTTTAAGCACTTTTCAAGAGAGTTATCAAATTCAAGGACTTTTAAGCATTTTTTATCATTTTTAAGCACTTTTTAAGAAAGGGACTGAAATTTAAGCACTTTTTAAGACTGTACGAACCCTGTGTAATCATGCAATTTAATGGATGCTGTTGTAATAAAACTTTATTTTTATTTCATAAATAATAAAAAAGAAGTCACAAGAAAAAGTTACCAGCTTTGAAGCATCTTTAGTGTCTTTCTGGAACTTGACAATTTTGTTATCTAATTCTTTTATTTTAATCTCAGAATTATGATGCTCTTTCTGTAGAGTTTTTTGTTCAGATACTTTAGCACCAATATCCTTGTCACAGGCCTTCAGGAGGGCCTTCTGTTTATTCACCTCTTCCTGGGCTGCCTTCACAACTTCCTGTAAGCAAATCATATATAATTTTACAAAATGAATTTATAATGAAAGGGTTACCCAATATACAATCTAATCTAGTTTGAATTCTGAACAGTGTTTAGCCGTAACAAGTGAAGTATCTATTAACTTTCAGCATTAAGGTTACTACAAACAGGTTTCAAGAAAAGTCAAGCCTCTAATTGAGCAAAATAACTAAGTTAATTAAAATGTATAACATATAACCACACTTACATATGACATTCTCATATACTTTTTTTAGCCTTTTTTGAAATTGGTGATGAATTGTTCATTGATATTGATCACTATTTTAAGACATATTTTGAGAAGATAATCATACAAATATCTACACAAACCTTGGCTTCGCTGGCTTTACCATCTAGTTCTTCAAGTTGTGACTGGTACTGTTTGATGGTTTCTTCAACTGTTGCTAGTTGTTCATCATATGAGGTAATTTCCTTCTTTAATTCCTCAACTTCAAGCTTTATACTATCTACCTCCTACATATATATACAAAAATATCTTTAATATATTTATGGAGCTTTTTAACATTTTGTGCTTAGATTATCTACTTATATGTTGTACAATGTCAACACAAGCTAAAATAATGATGAAACTTGAATTCATTTCAAATATAAATCTGTATCTGCAGGCATCTTATATTTGTCTTGTAAAACATAATGATGCCTAAATAATATTAATCTACTCTATTCCAAGTTAATTAACTTTTCCTTGGTTAGTATTCTTGTCAATTCTGGTTGCATTAATTGCTTAATTACAGTGTATTCATTTCTTTGTTGTAATTCTTGAAAAAAGCATAATAGCTTTACAATAGTGTGAGTATAAACAAAAGCTCTGCATGTGGTGTAAACATTCGTCTGTTAAGGGCATCATTTTTTTGACAAAAATTTATAAAAAAGTTATAAAGGGGCATAATTCCTAAAAGGTAACTTTTAGAACTATGTTCCTTGTCTAACGACTGCACCTTGTCATAAGCAAGTATTCCAAGTTTCATGTTGATCAAATGATAAAATGTTTGAATAATGGGCTACAGCAAAGATTTTGCACGAGGGCAAAAATGACGATGCAGTGATCACTATAGTTTGGCTTTTTCTTTGAAACAGGTGAGTTAAAAATATACCTGTGACTTTTGTTTCATTATTTTGCTTGACTCCTCTGTCTTTTTCTTGGCTTTTGTCACAGCTTGTTCAGCATCTTTCAACTCTTTCTCTCGTATCTGTTTGGCATTCTTAATCTTATTCTCCAGATCTTTTACTTTAGTTGAGTTTTTCTTCTTTATTTCTTCTGTTCTCTTTGCTGTTTCTTCATAATCAACTGAAATCAAAATCTTTTAAATATTAGTAAATGTTAGCACATTTTTTTCCCTATCAGTGGCTAAACTGAACTTTTAACATGGCTGTTGGAACTATATTTAAAGTTGTTCCATTCAAGGATTTTTCACATTAAGTATTTTGAATTAATTCATCATTTAACATATCCAATGTTCATTGCAAAAAATTGAACATTGGTCACTTATTATCATGTTAAACCAAACCTTTGATACAAAATTGGTAGTAAAGTTTACATTTTGTACACAATTTTACTCATGGTTATACTAAATGAATTGCGCTTATAACTTTGGTTCCTGACTCAATACTTACACCTATTAATGCTCATCAAATGAAGATAAGGCACCAATCTTAAGATATTAATTTTTCCCCAATATGAAATATACACAGCAAATTATAAAAAAAATGTTCCAGACTCACCAATATTTTCCTTGAGTGTGTTGATTTCTTCCAGCTGTTGATGATGTGAACCTTGTTCTAGTTTCTCCTTCAGATGTTCTACTTCCTGTTGTTTCAGATCATACTCCTGCTTCAACTTTGTAAACCTTAAACAATCAAGTTATGTCAAATTATAATAATTTCAAAATTGCTTCTTGCTTGGCTTTTGTTTGGATAAAACTCATTTTCCCTTAATGAAAACTTTTTATAATCTTCACAAACTTGTCACTCCTCTTAACAAATATGTTTTTTGTTTTTTTTGCTGTCTTCACAAACTTGTCACTTATAACAAATACGAAAAGTATGATGAAAATTTTCGAATTGTTGTTATGTTGAAAAACAAAATCAAACAAACTTAAGGTACCTTTGTGCAACACCTCTTATATTATGAAGTTCTTGTTCAACTTTAGCAAGCTGGTCTTGTTTCTGTCTCAGTTGCTGTTCAACTTCTGTAAATTCTTGAAGTTTCTCTAATATAGAACTCGTCTGTGCTCTAGCACCTGAATAAAGAAATTTTACATCATTTACATATAGTATAATAATCAGTTGCTTACAAAATTTTAAAAGTATCGAAAAAATATCCATATGAAAAGTATACTGTTACCAAAAAAACAACTAGTTCTAATAAATAATAAATCGCAGATGGTTGAATCAGTATAAATCATATTAAATGTAATAATTAATATATCTACTTTATATTTAATTTCACTTATGTTGCAACTATTTTGCTTAAGTCTACAAAATACGTGTTGCATCATGAAGGAAAGTGTCTTCCTATAAAAGTTTAACCGAATGTAAAGTTTAACAAATATACCTTTAAGAGCTAATCTAGAAACAAATGACTGAATACAGATAGAAACTCAAGTGAAATCCTTGACAACCCATTAACAGTTTAGAACAACTTTTATTCTCTGATATAAATGATAAGATTACACTCTTCTATACCTTCCAAACAGAAAACATTTTTATTACAGCATGACAATTAACTCACCTCCAGTAAGGGTTCCAGCAGGATCAAATGAGTCCCCACCCAGTGTCACAGACCTCTTCTGAATCCTATCATCAAATGTAACTTTTTTAGCTACGTTCATGTCCGTACAAACAAATGTTGAACCAAACACAAACTCCATTGCTGCTTTCAGGTTATTGTCAAAGCCAATCAGTGACAGGGCGGTATGTACATTATCTTTTCCAACCTGTTCAATATAATACATTTTCATTAAATAACAAAAGATTTTCAATAACATACTGTTACAATAACAGTAAAAACATGATGCATATTTAGTTTATATCAACCAGATGCTTTTGCCGAATTTCTTATTCTTCTCAAATTTGTGTTTACTTCTGATTTGTCTGGCAAGTATAAACAATATTTTTTTTTTTTAGAAATTATCTATAATAGTGGTTAATACATGTATTTCAAGAAAATGACTGATCATCTGACATACTGGTTTTGTTCCAGTAAAAGAATTTTTTTTTAGTTGGCTTGCTAATGAGATATTTGGCATGATGTACCAAACAACTGAAAGATGAACAAATATTTTTCATAAGGCCTAAAAAAAAAATTGTTTTGTTCGGGTCACCCGACCCTACCTAATAATATACGCCGACCCTACCGTTTTTTTCGTGTCAAAAAAAAAAAAAAAAAAAACAGATGAAAATACCATATTATTGAGGTACGGTACGGTACAGGTTTTATCGCCGCTCTTAGTTACAAAATGGCGGATCACATCGTCATTATTTGTAAAACGGCGTGTGATCTTCACCAAATGGCAGAACGCCGAGAGTTTAAGATTGTTTCACCTAAAATGTCTTTTGAAAACATAGAAGGGATGTATTTGTGCCACCCGGGAGGGATGTCAGAAATTTCCATATCTACATTTCAATATACTGGTGAATAAAAAAAAAAAAAAAAAAAATCCGACCTACCCTACCTATTCCTTGAGAGCATGTTACCCTAACAAAACAATTTTTTTTTTAGGCCTAAATGGAAATACAGTGAGACAAAATTACACTGGCATGACAATTGACTGAAAAAATTCACAATCACACAAGAACTCTTGCAAAATTACTTATATTTACAAAACAATACAGAAAAAATAAGTTTCGTACCTCCACCCCAAACAATCTATTAAAGCATATTCCTGCTAAATTTGTGTAATGGACTTGCTTTGACTTGAATACAGAACTTTCCATTGCCTCTTTAGAGGTTTTATACAATTTACATACAAAAAGTTAACCATTGCAAATACAAGAGCGATCAGTGATCACATGTGTCGCCTCATGATGGCCAATTTCATGTTGGGACAAGTTTTGTGACAGACGGACAGACAGAGGGACAGTGCACAACTAGACTTGGTACTGATCATTCCTGTAAAGTTTGGATAAAATTGCACCAGAAGTTTATGAGGAGTAGTCCAGACAAGCTTTTGTGTATCTGGCAACACACAGAAAAAAACACCTTTTTATCAAAGGGCAATAAATCAGCCAAAAATCATTCAACCGGAAAACCCGGGCAATATGCGCAAGGACTTGAGCTACAGATCAATCCTGTAAAATTTCATTGAAATTGCATTAGTGGTATAAGAGAAGTAGTCCGGACAAACTTTTAAAATAAAAATTATTAAAGGGCCATAACTCTGTCAAAAATCATTGAACCGGAAAATGCTGACAATATGCACAACTAGACTTGGTACTGATCATTCCTGTAAAGTTTAGATGAAATTGCACCAGTAGTTTATGAGGAGTAGTCCGGACAAGTTTTGTGACGGACGGACAGACAGACGACGGAGAAGTGATCCCTATATGTCGCCACTACTCCGTAGAGGCGACACAAAAACCTGTTTTATAGTAGTAAAAATTCAACTGCCAATAGAATACAGCAAGACCAACCCAAAGTTACCATAATTGATGTAAAGGCTGGTGTATGCTTTAAAGCCTAGTTATAATTATCATTGGTAGTATATATGGAGTATAACATACCAGTCCTTCAGCTTGTTTGACAACATCATTTGGTATATATCTGGAGGAGATTTTGTTGAGAGGTATAATGGTGTATCTTCTACGTAGTTCTCCTTTCTGTAACAACTGTTTACCAGTCTGCTCTGTGTCCACAACTACATTATACAACTGAAACAAACATACAGCTTTCTTGCTTAAAGTATTCTATAAACACTATTTACCTTATGGTATATCAAGAGATTTTTGCACTGTTTTATAGGACTTAAAATCCTAGTAATTCAAAAAGTCATGATAACTTTCGAGCTTAACATTTGGCTCTTCTCCTGGGTATAATTCCTGGCACCAATTGACATTTTGCTGAACAGTTTGGCTTTCCACCTGACAGGATCCAGTCAACATTAACTACTTCACTAGATGCCAATTTGTTTATCAAGAGGTTAATGATAAACAGCTATTGACTCCTGTATGTCATGTGAATTACAACCATTTTCACCAACCCCTTTAAATATACACATTCAAATGCCAGTAAGATAAAGTAAATCAGCCATTTTAATTTAGTAAAACATGGCAGTTCTGTTTCCGTATAGAAACATTTTATACCCTTCCAAGGCATTTTTATGGTGAGATGCATATCTTAAATTTTCCAAAATAAAATAACTATACCTTTCCTCCAGCAGCCACTTCTAGTGCTGTAGCAGTTTTCACATCTTTTACTTTAATTAATTTACACACTAAACCTGACACTTTACTTCGATCAAAATTCTTCTCTGGGTTTTTATAGTCAAAATGAAGGTGTGGAAATCTGTGATAATGAAAAGTACAAATGTATTCAGTTAAGAAACTTAATTTATTAAAAAAAGGACAAAACAAGATTGCATTTGAGAAAAATGCTATGCCACCGCATGGTTCAAATTTCATAGCTGTACATCAAAGGACAAAAAGGTAGGTCACATCATCAAAATCTAGGTCAAAGTTCAATTTTACAACTAAAACTGTGCACACGGTCAAAATGTCATTGCTGTACATCAAAGGACAAGAAAGTAGGTCACTGTCCCCTTGGGCAAGGCATAATTTTGACCCAAGGGTTTAATAACAATCTTCAAACAGGTCCATCAAACAACATTTCAAGTCAAATATCTAAGCTATAGCTTTCTCCCATTCAGAAAACATTTGTTTTATTTTCTGTTTTTACTACGTGTACATAATGAGAATCACTGCCCCTCGTCAGGGCCAATTTTTGACATTTGAACAACTTTGGTAGAGGACCTATAGATGATATTATATATCAAACATCAAAGCTCTATGCCTTGAACCTTCAGACAAAAATATTTTTTTTTTCACTATATGTACATAATGAAAATCAATGACCCCCGGGGCGGAACCAATTTTGACCCCAGGGCTATAATTTGAACAATCTTGCTAGAGGTTCACTACACAATGTTTCATGCAAAATATCTTAACTCTATCCTTTGTAAATTTAGAGAAGATGATTTTTTAAGTTTTAACTATATACATATAAGATAAACCTATGGCTCCCAGGGGCGGGGCTTATTTTGACACAAGAGGCAAAATTTGAACAACTTTGGTAGAGTACCTTTAGATGATATTATTTAACAAATATTAAAGCTATAAGCCTTGTACCTTCAGACAATAAGACTTTTTTATTTTTTACTATATGTATATATTGAAATCAATGACCCCCAAAGCGGGGCAATTTTGACCCAAGGGCTATAATTTGAACAATCTTGCTAGAGGTTTACAACACAATGTTTCATGCAAAATATCTAACCTCTAGCATTTGTCAATTGCTAGAAGAATTTTTTGTAAGTTTTTACTATATACATATAAGGAAAACCAATGACCCCTGGGGCGGGGCCGATTTTGACTCTCTGGCTATAATTTGAACAGTCTGGGTAGAGGTCTACCAGACAATGCCTTATGCAAAATATCTAAGCTCTAGGCCTTTTGGGTCTTTACAAGAAGGTATTTTAAGTTTTTACTATATGTACATATAGCGAAAATCAATGACCCCGGGGCGGGGCCGATTTTGACCCAAGGGCTATAATTTGAACAATCTTGGTAAGGGTCTACCAGATGATGCCTTATGCAAAATATCTAAGCTCTAGGCCTTTTGGGTTTTTACAAAGAGGTATTTTAAGTTTTTACTATATGTATATATTGAAAATCAATGACCCCCAGGGCGGGGGCAATTTTGACCCCAGGGCTATAATATGAGCAATCTTGTTAGAGGTCTACCAGACAATGCCTTATGCAAAATATCTAAGCTCTAAGCCTTTTGAGTCTTTACAAGAAGATTTTTTTAATTTATTCTTATAATTCCTTTTGGTTGCCATGGCAACCAGATTTCTGCATGGAATGAAATTCTTTGAACAACTTTGGAAGCCCTTCACCCAAGGAACAATCCTGCCAAGTTTGGTTGAAATTGGACTAGTGGTTTTTCACAAGAAGATTTTTTAAGTTCACTATATAATCTATATAACACACACACACACAAACACACACACAGGTGAATCGCTATATGCCACCGCATCGCAGATGCTGCGGTGGCATAAAAACCCACAACATTTCTATGTTATACATGTAATGTAAGTTAAAGGTAGCTAATGCTATTAATAACATGAGATCAAAGAAAAATTAGTGCAGAACAGTAAAGGTTTGTCCAACGTAACAGACAAGCTAAATAATTAAGAAAAGAAGTAGACTTTTCTATTGTTTTCTTCTTTTCTTTTTAAAACTTCAAATGAAATCAGAGTTTACCTGGCTTCAAGTGTTTCCATTTTATCCTGTAACCTGTTCACTTCCTGAGATAATGTTCGTCTTTGTGTTTCCAGCATCTCATCTTTACCTTCCTCATAATTTAACTTCTTTAACTCAGCCTGAAATTACAATTACAATCATCAAATCAGTTACATATTAGTGGGTGTAAGTCATCAACTTATTCTTATCTTTGACAAGTGAACAATTTTCCTATATAATCTAATAGTAAAACATGATTAAATTTGACACAAAAAACCTGAGGTTCAGGCATATGCCTGAAAACTTACATATACAGTTGACTCTCGATAACTCGAAATTCAAGGGACTGGGCATTTTACTTCGAGAGAAACGGAATTCGAGTAACGTGGATCTGCCGCCATTACGTTGACATTCGTACATGTATATACATGTACCTGATTGAATGTGCAAAGAAGTAGGTTTGTTATTGTTGATAGCGACAATGCTGCAATATTTAACCGCTGAAATGACTGTAAACCACTTACAAATACAAATTATAAATGAACAAAAATATATTATTCAAAATTTAATGCATGTATATTAATAGTGAAATATAAACACAAGCATTCGTAGCAATGACATAAATGCAAGTGTGTCAGTATTCATCAGTAATGCACATGCTTTTAATACTCACTCATTATAATTCATTACAATAAAAGAACAATAACACATTTATTTCAACAACAATTTATCTAATGTTTGAAGTAAATTGATCATCGGACGAAAACGAAAGTAGCAACTATCGTGAACCAGAAGTACATATCAATGTATGCAATATGACGGAAAATTAATTATAAAAATGTCATTTACGTTGAAAACACACATCAATACCTAGGCTGGCACAATTAAATTAATTAAATCTTAATTTACTTATCTAACTGTTAAAACCAATTAAGTCCTGAAACCGATTAAAGCCACTTTCACGACGTGCTAATAATACATGATGACCGGCAATTAAAATTACCATGAAACGTGTGAATCACGAGTGACAACATCTCAACTTGATGTCGGTCGGCTGTTTTCACACTTCGACTAATTAAGATGAAAATATGTTGGACTTTAATTGACGGGACCAAATTTTCTTTTCAACTAAACAGGAGTCTCGGTAAGTCAAAATTTGACCTAAGCGGAGTTAAAATACAAAGATAAAGAAGGAAATTTGACGGGACTTTAGAAATTCTTCGACTAACGCGGAATTTTGAGTAAAGCGATTTTGACTTATTGAGAGTCAACTGTATGTGTAACAGTAAAAATCTATGTTAGTCATTTAAAAATAATGAACAATGATTAACATATTGGGATATAAGCTGGATATTGCATAGGTAACAACAGCTGTCAGTGGTACAGTGTGCTCAACTATTCTTAGTGCTTGATAGTAAAACAAGAGTCTGGATAGTGTAGATTGTCTATATTTAAAACAGGCCATAATTCTGTCAAAATCAATGTTAAAGAGTTATGGGTGCCAATATTATCCATTACTGCATTAAAGCTTTTCCAAGATATTGAAATCTAGCAATCAACAGTTAAGTCTTGTCCAGATATACACTTGCTAAACCTCTATTTTAAATACAAATACTAGCCATTATTAATATATCAACTTCTAAAATTCCTTCTTCCTAAGCTTACTTATTATATAAAAATATTTCAATTTCTAATATATAGCCTAGATATGGCAAACAGTATTGTAACAGAATTCTATTATAATCTTGATACTTTTATTTATTTTATACATGTATCTATGTATTTGTTCAGACACTGATATATAAATTGTTACCTCTAATTTGTTCAAGTTTTGGGCAACATTATCATAAGCTTGTTTGTCCTTTTTATAGCCTTGTTCTGTCTTCTTTAAATCTGATTCCTTCTTCTTTAACTCCTGCTGAGCATGTTTTAACCTGAAATGTTGTAATAAAGTTGCTTACCCACATATAAAATAAGATGTTGCAACAGCAATAGACTATAACTGGATAAGTAACAAACATTTAATAAGCTGGTATTTCTAGCAGTAAGAAAGGTATGATCACCTAGTTTTATGTACAAATATGGATCAATAATATAATTTTATTTTCTGATGACACTATCTTTCCAAAAAGGCCAAATCACCCTGCGTTGGACAGATACTTTAAGGTATATATAAGTACACAATCATCTGGACAAATTTAAGCATTTTATATTCCCTAACAATAAATGACTAAAAAAAATACAATTCTAAGCACTCATGAACAGTTTCAGCATATTTAATTCCTTTTTAAATAATAAATTTTATAAACTACAAAACATTTCTCTTAAGAAAAAAAGACAACTACAACAAACCCTTCTATTTTCTAAAAATATATACTAGTTAAATAACATGCAAGTTTTTTTTCCATGGCAATTACATTTCCATTTACTTTTTAGAGATGGTCTTTGTGATTATTTGCCCACTTTTTAAAAATTATAACTTTACAATCATAAGTGATACTGTGTAACAACTAACATTACAATATACAAGCAGAATATCTTAGTTAAGTTCAAATATGCTCTCAGCTTGATTGTGAAATAAACCACTTTTAACCATCTTCTTGGAACTAACCAGTGTTCTAGGTTATAAAGAAATTTTCTCAGCTCAAACTCAAATCTCAGGTACTTGATTGGTCACATACTGGCACACATGTTCACTGACGGTGACCAATTTAAAACCCTCGAGATTTAAGACAAAGCTATGAAAAAAGTTTTTTAACTATAAATCCAGTACTGGTATCATATGAGGAAGCATGGTTTTAACAAGAGTAGGGCTTGAACGTTCAACCTATAATCTTTGAGTGGAGAGGCATACAATATAATCCCTGGACCAACTCTACTTACTTCATAGCAGCTTGTTTAGCTTCTGTCTCTGCGTTGCTGATCTCACTCTTAGCAGCTGTTTAAAATAAATCATTGATTAGCAAACATAATACAGGATAGTTGAGACTACTTGTTGCAAAAAAAATATAAACAAACTGATCGTACGACAAAAAAAGCTGTATCATGAAAACAAACTTATTACCTACCTCACAAAATTACTTGTCACATATGATCAGTCTTGGAAACTCTTAAACAATTTTCATTGTAATCATATTCTATGTATTAGCAGGAAATTATTAAGGAATTTAAAAGTGATCACAAAGAAGTTCAATTTTGTTCATTAATATTCTTCTCAATTACCAAGAAAATACCAAGAACTTTACTAAGGTATGATTTTGTAACATTAAGCATTTTTCAACTTGTAAGTACTGTAAAATAATGAAAGAGTAGAATGTATAATAAATCCGAAATAATATCACTCACTAATAAGTTGATCATTGAGAGTAGCAGCCTGTCCATCATCATTACTAGACAGCCCAGCACTGACAGCTTGGTAGTGTTTCTGTGCAGCAACATGAGCATCCTGATCAGCCTCGCTCTGTTTCTGCAGAGATTCCAACTCCTTTGCTATCTTCTCTAAGTCCTTCTCCCTTCCCTTTATTGCTGATGTATTCTAGGATAGAAATTGTTTCAATCACGTTAATAATTCAAAACATAAATTCATTACATTTTTAATTGATTTACTTTATGCCTCTGATCTCTTAGAATGCTGGAAACAACAGTTATCAATCAGTGTAGGGCCAGGCCCCTCAGCAAGACTGCATGTCTTTTCAGTCCATTCCGACTATACTCTTTGCTGACCAACTTACATAGTTATCTTGATATCTACAAAATTGTTAACAGAATTTGACAAATTTGGCAGCTAAATACAGGAAACCAAAAATAACTTTTAGAAATTCAAAAAAAATATAGATATTACTTGTCAAACATAAAATCCTTACATCATTTGAATTTTTTGTCAATTCTTTCTTTCGTTTATTTTCTGCCTTCAGACCATCTTTTTTGTCATCAACAGCACTTTGTGCGAGTGCTTCTAGTTTCTTGTTCTCTGACAGTGTATCTTCAAGTTTCTTCATCACACTGCCCGACTCCTCGTCTCTCTTTCTCTCAAGCTCGGATATAACTGTATCAAGTTCTTTCACTTTTTCATCAATCTACATGTATAAGAAATTTATATCAAAAGAAGTCATTAATACTCATGCTTTGACAATATGACAAATGAAACACAAATCACTCTGATGCAATGTATTTGTCAGTATCTGACATTGAAGGATTAAACCCAGATACCTGTTTCAAAAATTATATATCTTCAAACAGGCCTCTTAAATAAATTGTACAAAATCTACAATACATGTATTCTTCAGTTTGTTATATAGTTCTCAAACTGATATAGGCCACTTTCCGCATGGCAATACATGAAAATTTGTTAACTAGACTTCACATCATATTATCATTTGAATAAAGTCATAAATTCACCTCAACCATCCTATCCTGTAGTTTTTTCATGCCCTCCTGCATCTGGGTCAACTCTTCAGCTGATTTCTTCTTTTTCTCCTGCATAAAAGTTACATCAAAAGTAAAAATAACATGTAATTGCAGCATCTATGTAAAATACCCTATAAAAGTAAGTAACAATGCCAAATAGTAACTCTATACTCTTAAATCAAATTAATTCTGGGATATTTGGATCTTCACCCATTATAATGTAATTAACGAAAATATGAAAAATTATGAATAATCATCAGCAAGCAGTGTTCAATCTAGAACAAATTCCCAGGGGGCCCTTCGGGCCCATAAACTTTTCAAAAGGGGGTCATTTGAGAAAAAAGGGGGCCCGCACTTAAAAGAACATCAAATTAAAATAAGGTATTGTATCTTTTAAGTTACTTGTTCACGTACCATATATAGACTAAAAACGGTTGCAAAATTCCAAAACAATCAACTCACTAAAAAAATGACATTATTTTGACCATTTTTGAGAGTTCTGTTAGCGTTGATACAGGCTCAATTTTAAGAACTGATTGGTAAAGAAACGATGACATAATGTTCAAAGAAACATATGAATCTTATTTTAATGTTACCATGGATATTTGATAATAATGTTTAGTTTTTTAATCAGCGCCCGATATATAAAAGAAAATCATATTTCCCAATTAGCTTTGTTGATGAAGACTATAAACTTACAATAGTCGCTAAAAACATTTACCCTTCTCAATATATCCAAACGAAAAACAAAGTGTCAACAGGTGCTAAGACAATGTATATTGACATACCGGTATCTTTGATCTTTTGTCAGGGCAGCAGTTCTTACATCACGTGTATTGATTAATGATATGCACAATGTTTTAATGCCGACCAGCCAAAGACCAATCAAAGTTTATTTACTCAATTGTCAGACACCCCCTAGCCAATCGTGTTTGATTAGCTCCATCTTTAAGACTTTTTTAATTGGATGAAGGCGTGTTCGTAATAATTCATGCACACTTCTCTATAATTATCTCGCACTTTTCACAAATATATAGTTTTTTTCCTCCGGAAAGTTATGACATATATATTTGTTTTGACCGTGAAAAAACTATAACTACACGCACGTATTGGATTATCTGTGACGATTTGTTTTGTTTATAAAAACTGTGACTCAAAAGTAAGTAATAGTTACGGTACGAAGAAAAAGTCTACATAGTATTTACAGACCCCGGCCGAGACAGCGTAGCGATCAAGGTTTTAAAAGGGTTACAGAGTGCAGTAACTATCTTACCAACATGCTCTTGTTTTTCTATACAAACTTCAGTTTTGAATTCAGCATTTATTAATATTATTCACAAGAAACTTTTTTTATGTACTTAATCAGGTTTAAGAAAGCATTCTAATGTCATTTAGGGCATTTTCTATGAGTGCGCCCATCGGGCCCACAGTTGAATTTGTTTTGCGCCGGCGGTCTTTTCAGGGGGTCAATGGCGCAATGGCGCGCTCTAGATTGAACACTGAGCAAGTACACACATGCCATTTGATTAGTGTCTGCACTGTATACCATTCATTCAAAAATATTTTGAAATTTCCCTTGAAAATGGAGAATGGTTTTGTACAGATTTGAAAGATGGTCAGTTCCATTAATGATATTAAGGATTGTAAGTGTTAAATATTTATGGAACACTTTTACACTATTTATTTTTCTACTTATCTGTCAAGACATAGAATCAAATTCGAGAAAAGAAATATCTGATAAGATAAAACATTTTACCTCTGCACAAAGGAACTGGTAAGCAATATACAGTTTGTTGAGATGTTCCAGCTCCCTATTTATTTTCTGAAACTCTAGGTATGATGATCTCTCCTCCTTCAGTTTTGTAATAGTTGGTGTAATATCTTCCTTCAGTACCTTTATACAAATTGTAAACAATATATACCTATACTTAAAAGAGATCTACATAGTAAATCAGTGATGTAGACATTTCTAAAATTGTAAAGAATGGCCTGATCAATGTAATGAAACAGTAATGCATTTCTTTTTATTACATGCTTAACCAAAAGAATTTAATAGCCTAACAATATCAGTCTTTCCTAAAGACCGTCGGACCTGACTGGTAAAAAATCAGAAGGTCCGATAAAAATATATGTATTGACGGCCCGACGGTCCGGTAAAAAATCAAGGTTTTTATAAAAACCTTACATTTACCTAAATTTAAAACATATCAAAATGTTGTCATTACACAATATAAGCTCATGCAATGCTTGTCAACTGTTATGCATTCTCATAATGCAAACTTTAATGTAACGACGTAAGATAAAAATATCCGACAACTAGTACAATTAAAAGGCAACTAGACCTATCACTGAAGGTGATTAATACTCCCACCAGCAACTTTGAATTTTTGAAAAATAAGTAGTCTGAAGAAAAATTTGAACACAAACTATCAACTGTGTACAAAGAAATATTTCAATTAATTGTAATCCCAACTGGGGTCTCCAAATAAGCTTGCTTTTCACAAAGTTTGATTACAATATCTCATTCCTAACTCTAGTTATTGTCCGGAAACCATTTTTCTATTTTTAGTAACACTGTAACGGTGACCTTGACCCTAAGAGGTCTAAATGCAATACCAACCCAGGTCTTCATATAAGCTTGCTATACACCAAGTTTGATTACAATATCTCATTCCTAACTCAAGTTATTGTCCGAAAACCATTTTTTCTATTTTTAGTAACGGTGACCTTGACCCCAAGGAGTCCAAATGCAATACCAAACCAGGTCTTCATATACCCTTGCTATACACCAAGTTTAATAACAATATCTCATTCCTAACTGTACTTATTGTCCGGAAACCATTTTTCTATTTTTAGTAACGGTGACCTTGACCTTGACCCCAGGGGGTCCAAATGCAATATCAACCAGAGTTGCCACATAAGGTTGCTATATACCAAGTTTGATTACAATACCTCATTCCAAACTCTAGTTATTGTCCGGAAACCATGATGTGGACCGACCGACAAGCTGACTCCTATATACCCCCCCTAAACTTCGTTTGTGGGGGTATAATAAGCGGCCGCGTAAATTACATAAGCGGCCCAGATGTGAAAGGTCACCCGCTATTAGTTTGTTTACACAAATGAAAGTGTCAGTGTATTAATTTGAATAATTTACGTCTTTAATCGACAGACTTAGAGTAATGCTAAATTACACGTGTGCTCAACTGGTGTTTAGCTATGAAAGATCGTCCAAGATGTTGACAAAAATTAAACTATACTGTGAAGGTACCAAAATCATTGAACAATTAATCTGTCAACTTCACTAAATTACCGATATATATAATTCTGTTTACATATGCCAGACTTTTGCTGAAATTTACCCTCTCATTTTGCTAGTATATAGTCTGTATGGAATTAAAGTTTAAACAGCAATATCCATTGAATACATGTATAAGGCCATCCATAAAAAATTGTTTGTTTGTAGTGCTCCGACCGACCCATGAAAATGGCCCCGACTCTAAAAATTTTTTACACCTTCGAGGATATTTTTTTTTTTTTTTTTTTTTTTGAGATCATTATATACCCATTCTGTTAAAAAGATCTTTCTCCAATAACTTTTCAGACAAATTTTGAACTGAGAAGTAGAAAAAGTAAAAGAATTTTATTCCAAAACCAAAATAAACGCAGGCTTTTCATCGATATTTTGCCAAACTTCGACCCCGAACATCGGCGATTTCACATTCGCCAGAAACCTTAAAATTTCGCAAAGGGCATAAAAATTCTCAGTTTCCAAGCCAAACATGTGGATGAATTGTTCTTTTGTTAATTATTTAACATTAAATCTTATAAAAGTCAATTCCCTTTCGAAGATATTAGCTAAAATAATTGCCGATCGGATGAATCTCTTACACACTGTGTGAAGCTGTACTCGATTTTCCTATTCATTCCACTAAATGCTGCATATATATACGTACACGGTACAGTTTATGGAAATGATGCCCTCTTCACGATATTTTTACAAATATAAAGTTTTTGTCTGGACATATTAAACCAGACTAAAATTCGATTTATTTTTTATATAAAAGTGAAAAAATATTGCCACTTTGTTATGTGAAAATGGACAGAAATGGTACCCTCATGAATTTTTTTTATTACATGATTTTACATGAGTTAACATATCTAACTTGAATACAATTTGATTTTTTATGGTATAAAAATGAAAAAAAAAAAAGATTGCAACCTTGCTTCAAAGATAAAATACATACATCAATGAATGTTAAAAAAGATTACCCTCCGTAACCATAGGCCACCACTGTATACATACATTTTTACACAAAATAATACCAGAAAAACTTTATTGTTGACATAAATTAATTTAAATCATTTTGCCATTCATGACTGTCAGAAAATGAGGTTACACTAAAACTTGTTGAAAAAACAAGTTAATTGATAAAATTTTCGCGGGAAAATCGCTGGAAATTAATGGGTCTTTTCCCGATACTTTTAAATAAGTTATACCTGTGATTTCTTTATAAGAATGATAATTATTCATTAATTTTACCTTTTCCTAAATTGTAATTTTATAGCCATATTTTTTAATCTTTGATGCAATCATGCACTGTTTATTCTTTCTTTTGTTTTTGTTCCTTTTTTCTCCTTTGTAATTGTCCGTACTATATTCCCTTTTAAACACCCAAATGGGTTTATTAATTGTTGCTCTCTTTAATCAAACTTTCAAAACAAACTCCAGGCTCCAGGACCTGTTGATTACACACTATACATGTATACAGCAGGTGACGTAGATTTTTCTACATACTACACTGCCATATATGGTAAGTACACACGACTGTGTGACAGGTGTAACATACATAATGATCTATTATTATGCTGGCTAGTGAATGGAGTTAATTAACATGGTTTGTTGGTTAAGTGGCAAGGTAATCTAAATTTTCAAGTGTACCCCTAAAATTTAACAAAAAAACAAACAAACAAAAAAGAAAAAACAAACAAACAAAAACAAACAATAACAAAAAAAGAGCTAAAAAATTCTGCTGTTAGTCATTTAATTTCAAATAATTATATTCTAACCAGATTAATATTATTTGCAGGATAATTCCTTTTATTCAATAGTAATGAGAAAAATGGATTTGCTACACCCCTCCCTTCTTTGTGCATTTAGTATCTGACAAGTCAGGACCAGTAAATGAAATCTTAGGTGGTCATCAAAAAAGGTGGTAATCATT